TATCCTTTGCAACCTATTAATCACGTCGGTGTTATTCCGTGCAAATACTGCATACATATACTTACGTAATCTTTGGATCTTCATAAGCACATCGGCAAGGTTATGGTCAATTATTAATTGGTAAATGATAGTGGCAGCACTTCAGCACTTGTCATAGCTACCTTACACTGACTGAACTTATAACAACAGCATATTATTTGTGATAGACGAATGTGTAAAAGGTAATATTTCAAAAAGTAAAAGTGTTAAGGGTTGAATAACATTTTTCGGTAACTTAATAATTTTTTTCCTTTGAGTTGACCTTTTATTTTCGCGTTGTGTATACAACACCCCCACCATACCCAACCTTGGTTAAGCCGCGACTTGCGTGAGCATCCGTAGTGCGAGCCACGAAAAAACAAGCTCTCTTTTGTGAGCGGTTCGCGAGAACCCCGCGCTGTGTTGTGGTAGTTACCACCCCCAACCCTCCAGAAAATACCCCTAAGAAGACCCGGCCGGGCAGACGACGACGCGGGAAACCGTTAAGGCGGGTGATTAACCGTTTCGGGTGTTGTATGTCCTACCGTTTTCTTGCCGCTCTTTCCCGTTTACAACCACCTTCCCCCAACCCTTTACAAAAAGTATTAGTCTTAATTTTTAATGCTAAATATGACAATTTTATAAAAATAGGTGGTACCCTGTATCGAAATTTCTTGTGAAATCCGTTATTCGAGTCCTTTGGCTACAACAAAACTTGGTCAAGTGAAACAATAAATGTCAAATACGGTTTGACTTAGGTATCGTTATATACAAAAATGAAGTAATGTCCCAGTTGTTCCATTTAAAATAAAAAACATTGATGCTCGCCGATGAAAAATGAAATACCCTGTATATACAACATTAAAATAAATTGAAGGTTTGTAATACCCCAATTAACTTTTGCGTTTAACTTTTGGCTGTTGCAACGGATCATTTTTCAAAATTCCATTAAAAATACCACTTGAGTGACCACGATTCCGAAGTTTTAGAACTAACTACCTTGAACCTTGAACCCACGTCATTTTGCAGTTGTGATACCAACCTTTACGCAAATTTAAGTTTATTTTTAAAGAGCTTGCCAAAATTGATACATCTTTTAGTAGAAACATACACCAGGGAGATCCTTAAATTCATTAAAAATTGATTATTATTAAATGGTTATCCATCAGCAGAAAAATTACACAGGGTAATCGAAAATCGTATGACTATCGTTAGCTGCAAAATATTTAAAGGCGGAATGACACTTCTTGAAAATGGCGGTCCTCGTGGCTGAAATCTGCAATTATATCATGGAATTTAATAGACATACCGCCCATAATCGTTTCAATAGTTAAAGTATACCGGGTGGCTCAAAAAGGCGTTTCTGAATTAAAGATACATTTTTTTTAAACACCCTATTCTTAAATTATTCAACTTTTTTGTTAATAATAATACATAGATACCTAAAACTAATAATTTTTCCAATATTTTGATTTTTCTAAAAAATACTAGTCACACTTGCAAAAAATTTAGATGGAGTCATTATTTATAGTCATAGTCAAATTTGAGCGTTATTCGATCATGTGAAAGATACATACAGTGTGTCCCACTTAAGAACTGTACACCCTCGTGAAATCTTTGTTTATGGATTTTGATAATTTCGTTTTTGTTGGACAGAAAAATGGACTCAAACCTAATTTTGCTTATTAATTCAACTTAATGTCACGAAAAACCGAGACTATTTAACAAAAGAGAGAGAAGTACTATTAAGAATTTTTTTAAAAATAAATTCGCAATGACGAATACTTAGGACCCAAAGATACCAATTCCTATAATTTTCCTATACTGTTTGATTTTGATAACTTTGTTTTGTTGGATAGATCTCTAAAAAACGCACCAAAGTCTTATTCTTTTTACATCAATCTAAAGTTATGCGCAACTGGGACTGATTTGTCAAATACCGAGAAGAGCTATTTGGGATTTCTTTAAGAATATAGTATCAACGAATTCTTATGCAGCTACATAAAACCTAATTATACTAATTTCCATGAAGTTCATTTAAACATTACTCCTGTACAATGTTGAAGGCTTAATTTTTTATAATAATAAATTTTGTAAACCTTGTAAATAACGATTATTACTATTATTAAATCTTACAAATTTTAATTATTCAGATATCAAAAATAATGATGAAAAAAACTTTTTAAGGGACATTTTTTTAGTATACCTAGTTTTTACAAAGAAAAGAGTATGACGCTTTTTACAAAACTTCCGGATTCCTCCTGCGTCGGTTTTTGCTTAGTCGAAATTGCTGACGTTTCGCCAATCATCCTGTTGTTTATGCCAATAAAGCCCGAAGGAGATGTAGAATCCACAGCGACATAATTTATGTTTGTAATAAGAGTAATGTGCATTTACATACTTCATGCTACATAAATAAAATAAGATAAATATCACCAAAAATGAAACCGGGTGTTACCAGTGGTGCGCTCACGCACCATAAAATATGCGTTTTTTTTTTTGTATCAAATCAGGTTCTATTTGGAAAACAATATGCTCGATTTCTTAGTTTTTGCATCAATTTCATATTTGATATTTTGCGTTAGATACGTATTATTATTAATAGAAAACGAATTTAAAACAAAATTTCAAAATAGTGTTCGACTTAAAGAAATGTACGTTTTATTTGACCCAAAAGCTTTTCATTCCGGGACTTGCAAGCCGTAACTCACACACGATGCTTGTAGGACATGTTTCCCTTATTTATTTTTTTAATCAAACAAACCTGTTGCTTTCAGCCCGGGATTTTTAACGAGCTTTTAGCCATTAAAGACATCATCAAATCTATCCTGAATTTCGACCAGCCTGATACAATATGGCGCTGCTTATATCCGCACGAACGGGTGAGTCGCACCGTCTTTCGGGTTATTTATAATTCTGCATGCTCCTCGTTACAGGTGACGCACCACCTAAATGCAGTCAGAGTCGTCCCGACCATTAACGGCATTGTCTATCAATTCTTGCTTATTCAAACGTTTCGTTAGTTGAGTATTTACGATTATACAGTGCGTCCAAGGAATCTAGGGAATGAGAGAGTTCATAACAAACCTGAAAGTGTAGTTTCGGAGATATCCGGATTTGAAAGAATAGTTTATTTTTATTCCCGCTTATCAAAATGGATATTTAAATTATTTTGTTTTTCTTTCTTTTCCAATGCCAATGTTCCATTTTTAAAAATTCGTCTCCGGTCTAGTTAATGAGTTTAAATGACGTTAATTGAACATACTAATATGTCTAGATCATTGCGCGAAAAAAATGGACTGGTACATTGAAAAGCAGTGTTCCGTTTTTCGCTAATTGTTCGAAAAACTATTTTTTTTTTACTTCGAAAGAAAGTTCCTCAAAGAAGAGAAAATTTGTTTAAAAAAAATCGGAAATTCGAAACTGTGCCTCTATTATTAATAATAATTAATAAAATGAGATATTGTGATAACATTTTAAATAAATTTAATCCTTCATGAAGTTGTAATTTTTTTTAAATATTTGTTTATGATAAATTAAATAAATAAATTAAATATAACGCTAAATTTTCTTTTTATATAAAGTAGATTGCTAAATCCAATTGCCATAACATTTTCTTGTATGCCCGTAAAATAAGGTAGTGTGATAAAATTTTAAAATGAAGTTAATACTTTGTTTATAACATATTTTTTTCATCATAAATAGCAGTTCTTCGTGAAGTTGTAATTTCTTTTAAATATTGAAATAATCCCTTTTTAATAAAAAATATTAAATAATATTTTTTTACTTAATAAATAAATATCTTTTTAACATAAAAACGGAAACTTAATGACAGATGAAAAAAAAGTTACAACAATTTTATTCTTTTGTTAGCTTAAGAAAATAATTACAAACAAACTGTACCTCCATTGTTAATAATTTTAATTTCATGTTGAAAATTATCGTTCGCCCGCCATTTTGAGGTTCTACGCATGTTAATAAATTACAATAAAAAAAAATAGGGAATATAAAGTACATTGCCAAAATTGTATACTCATAAAATGAGATAGTGTGATAAAATTTTAAATAAATTTAATACTTTGTTTTTAATATTTTTTTCAAAAAATCATAAATGGCAGTTCTTCATGAAGTTGTCATTTTTTTTAACTATGGAAATATTCCTTTTGTTTATAATAATAATATTTTTTTTAGTTAATAAATGTCTTTTGTTAATATAAAAACAGGAATTTCATGAGAGATTAAAAACAAAGTTACAAAACATTACTTTGCATTTTCTTTCTTTTATTAACTTACAAAGATAGTGTGATAAAATTTTAAATAAATTTAATGCTTTGTTTATAATATTTAGCTAATATTTTTTATAGTTAATAAATATCTTTTCTTAAAATAAAAACGGCAAGTTATTGACAAATGAAAAAAAAAGTACAATGTTACGGTGATTTTTTTTCTTTTGTTAACTTCAAAAAATAATTACAAAGTATTAAATTTATTGAAACTTTTATCACACTCTTGTTTTATGGGTTTACAGGAAAGACTCCACGAAGCGATTATTTAAATATATATATTTTTAAATTTGCAATGATTTTTTTAGTTTTTGAAATCTACGACGGCATTGCCGCTACCTCAATATGGCGGCAATTTTCAACGTTAAATTAAAATCATCAATAATGGAGGTACAGTTTCGGGGATCGAAACTTTTTTATAGACATTTTTCTCCTCGTTAGTGATCATTTTTTCAAAATCAAAAAAAGTACTAATTCACGAACTATAAGCAGGAAACTAAACGCTACTTTTTACCGCTGATAATTGTTTATCACTTCGTTTCATTTTAGTTAGCGTCTCACCATTTTCAAGATTCCTTTTTTTTGGTTCTGGCATTTGATATCTTTATTTTGATTAGTTTTCGAATAAAGCACTATTTAAGACGACATCGGCTTTAACTTAAGTATAACCGTCACCCCCTCCCCCTCTTTTTCTCTCACCTTTCGTCCATTTTCCAAGTGTCGCTCCAGGCGCTCATGCTTCGGCTCCTTCGAGCCGTGGAAAAACGTCGCGTGCCAGTCCGGTCCAGCGTGTTCGGCCGAAAATTCACCCGGATTTTTGCCGGAGATTGAGCGCTCTCTGTGGGCGGCAACATCTCGTACGTCCATCTTTGCGGATCAGTGGACGAGCCGGCTCTTGAATGCTGGCCACTCTCCAGGCTGTCGTCGGTTCTGGGAGCCACCGTACTGGCTCCTGGTGGACGAGATTTGTTCCTTTTTTAAACCCGAAGGTCTTTAAAACGCTTTTTCTTTTCGTAAGAAAGTCACAAAGAGCTGAAAAGTGCTCACCACGGGAAAAGCGCAAATGGAAATGTTTGAGTTTTTATTTCTTGATATTTGCAAGATTATTTGTTTTCCTTATTTGATGTGAAACTTTCAAAATAAACTTGGATGAGTCAATTTCGGTTTTAGGAGTCTAAAAAGCCATACTTTTTTCACAAGTTTTCGTAATAAATAATAGAAAAAAAATAAAAAGTGGAGCTACAAAATGAAATTCATTGAAATATTGTGAATTAAATTAAAGCTAAAAAAATTGTCATAAACGAAACCATCTAATTATTGAAGAAGTTTCTTGAAAAAAGTGTTTAGAATAACATTTTGAGCCCGGTAGACACGATGCAATTTCTACATGCATTTTTAGGAAAATGTACATTTTTGAAGAACTACGACATTTTTTTTATTACAGAAGCTGAAACCCTCAAATTTTCGAAATACTGGGTTTTTTCTAATAATCGCCATATTGAGTTTCTACATTTTGAAAATTGTTCTGTCGGGGGTTCGTGCCACAGTTAAATGAATACGTTAGTTCAGAAACTAAAGATGTATTCTGTAACGACATGAAATTATTACAATGCCGGTTATCGTGCGTCGCCTGAGGACAGGGCGCTCGCGCATCGATACGTATTGAGTGCTAAGGATAGACTAAATCCTAGGGGTTTCTACGGCAGGAACGTTAACATGAACAAAAATCTTTAAAATTCTTGCAATTTTCACATCTTGCACATTTTTTGCAATTTGGTGGTGCAATTACATTGTGTTTACCGGACTTTATAGTTGTTTATGAAATTTGGAATATAAATAACGCCAGCGATTGATAACCAAAGATTGTCCCTCCATTTAGAAATTAAAAAAAAACTTCCGTAGCTGACACTGTGGAGGACCTCAGTTGATATGTGGCTTTTGTGTTCCAAAACTAAATTGATATTTTTATTGTTTATTAGCGACACCCCATGAGTTTATACTCAAAGAGACCTGACAAATCACTAATAAGATGACCAAAAAACCGCTGCCAACATTAGCAAATATGAATGATAAGATAATTGTCGTTTTAAGGTATTTTTCATATGAAGTATAAAAACTTACTAAACTAACTTTGGAGTCAGTAATATTTATTTCTCTGTTCAGGTTGTTAGCGCCACCTAGCCTGAAAGTTGATAGATATGTCATACCATAGTAAAAAAAAGTGTTGTAAGTAAGCAACCCGAACTTTGTGGGCGTGGAAGTTTTAGTTTAAACTAATAAATATTAAGAAAAAACGAAGTTTTATTCCTTTAAGATTAATCTGTAATAAGTAATTCTTAATAAACTGAACCATAAAAAATATATTGAAGAACTTGTTTAAAAAAACATTCTCGAATTGTATACGACAAAAATTGTTTCTCCACTTAGATACAAATAAAACTTGGAAGACCCTGAATACTTAATTCCCAAGCCTTTTAACAGGATACTTGATATTTTATTGTTTTGTAACCTTAATAGAATGACCAAAAACTGCCGCCAACATAAACAAAAACTGTATAAAGTAGTCAATATCGTTTAAGATAACTGTCTAATAATATAAAAGACAAAAACAAATAAGAATTTTCGCCATGTTACTGTCAAAAATATTTATTTCCGGGGACAGGCAAAAAGAAAAGCAATTGACCGAAACCGGAAGAACTTTTCTTCCAAATCTTCATGTGTTTAGATAGCGTCATCAACATTTGACACCGTCAAGATTATATTAGGAGTTGCCTGGTCTCTTTCGGGGGCTTAATTTTTGGTTTGAACCACACTCGAAAGTTTGTCCGACATAAACTCGACCCTACCTTCAGAACCGCTCGAACTGGAACGATCGATGTCGTCACCACTCGGCGAACTTCCACCGGCACTCGAAACTTCGTCCGAACTCCCGCCGCCGCCCGACCAAGTACGGAGTTTCGTAAATGGGGTTTGAACGTAAATGGTGGCGGTTGTTAAGTACCGTTTAAAAAGCAAAAAACGCGGCTGGGGAATCTTGGAAAGTTTGGTCGCGAATGGAAAATGAAATCTCCTTGGTTTTGGTTCCTGGTGTTCCTCTCTATCTTGCCGATCACCGTCAAATCACCGTTATCCATTCACATGGCTTTAACTTAGCTTTCGGTCATAGATAGGATGCAATTTTGAGAATGTTTTCCTGAAACTTACCTACTGAAAATGATTCCAATTTCTGTTGTTATCACGCATATATACACAGAGGACTGAAAATAACAACAAATGGACCAGTGAGGCAAAATTAGATTCAGAATTTCTTTAATATTATCATTGAGTTTATCGAGATAACTAATTGCTATCAAACTTAGAATCACTTTGCTTAATTATTTAATGCCCGGATAGACATTATATTTAACAAAGCATAACGTAATGTATTCTCCATGAAAGCAAAGAGTATAAGTTAGAGGGGAAGGTCGCGTATACTGTTACGAAGGCCATCTAGTATTTGTGTCCAAGTACTAAAATACTGTCATGGCGGTTTAAAGTAATGCGTGACACTGAAAATACTACAGTAGTTTGTAACGGATAACAGCACTTAATTTATTTAGTACATTCTAAAGTAAGAAAAAATCAAATGTTAACGCCTAAATCTTTAGGGCTGCGATTGCGAAGCCGAATTAACAGGATGGAGAAGAAATTTATTATAAAACAAAAAATTAATACATTCATCGTCAAATTATTCAACAATTGTTATGACAAAATATGTAATTTCTTGAAAATCTGAACTTTTAGTTCTTATTTATTTCGATAAGTGGTTTTAATCATGTAAAAGCCACCTCAGTTCTATATCTCAAAACGACTGATACTGTAACATCAAAAAATATAAACAACAACTACTGAAAAAATATCAATGAAACAACCAAAGCAAAGTGACGACCAAAGAGGAAAAATAGAGGATGAAGTACCATTAAAAAAATTAAACCAAAGTGAGGACCAATAAACAAGAAATTAAGGAAAAGATTTAGTAAAGCGTATCAGCGTATCTACATTTCTTTTATTAAAATATGTTTTTTCATATTACTAAGTGCAATGATAGATTTTTAGCTGTTTCAGCAGTGATTAGTAAAGGAATATGTTTTTTGAAAAATTTTATTATTATGAGAGAACTTTATTTACACCAACTTTTATATTACGTTTTTAAATAGAATAAATTTTATGGTATATCAAAGGATTTACTAAAAAAAGCGGGCTTTTAGCTTTTTTTTTTACAATATAGTTATTGTTCTAATAATAGTTTCATTAATCATTTTTTTTATTATTTTATTATTTTCATTTTTTATTTCACGCTTTTTAACAAGATAGGATAGGATAGGCTATGGGTAAGGGTCTGCTGGGCAGGGTGTTCTATATGGGGTTGCCGTTTTGGAGTAATAAATACTAGCCAAAGTTAATGACGTGGTCGGTGGTAAAAGCGGTATATTTCTGGTCGAAGTATAACTCGCTATTTTTTCAACAACTTTTGTAATTGTTTTTTTCAAGTTGGAAACAATGGCTGCGGTCAAACGTTTGACGTCTTCTACTCAAACGTGTTGTTGTGCAAACCGTAAAAGCGCAAGTTATACAAATACGGGAGCCGGTAAACACACGGAAACCTCCGGGGAAGTTACATTGAGGTTTTATCGATTGGGACGGGAGCGTCAGAGAGTGGTGCGTCCGAAAATAAATGTCGACACACTTTTTATCGAATTTCTGGGATTACGCCGTGACCTTCACCCGTTCGAAAATAGTCCTGTTTAGGAACTATCTTCGATCCCCTCCGATTTTTTATTTACGACCCGCCCGACATTTGAACTTTCGCAACTCGCCGAGCAAGTGTGCTACATTGTTTGCTGAGGACCCCCCAGCGGAAAGAACATTGAAAAACAATAGAACAACTTCCGAGTTTCGGCACCTTCAGATTGATATCAGCAAAAGAACACATCTTACGTCACCGAGTGACGGAAAACTGAACTTTTTGCTTACAAAACATAATAAGGTTTTCTTTTCTCGTATTACGAGTATTAAAATTGTACAGCGTTGTGTACTATTTCAAAATGGCCTATATACCTTATCTCGAAACCGACGGGGGTTAAAAAAAAGAAATACAAAAGTTGTTTCTATTAAAACGACCTTTATTTTTTTTATTTTCCTAATCGTCACTTTTTTATATACAGAGTGGTAAAAAAGGTTACAATTTTTTAAATAAAACATCCTACATTTTATTGCATTTTTCAATAGTCCTTTCAAACACCAGTTCAACTATATATATGAGTATGTGTCTGTGATGCACCGTTTCGAACTTAGCGATCATTTTCAGAATTCAATGAGTTCAAACTAGTTGAACCGATGAACTTGATAAAAATCTATTTAACAAAATAAATAAGAACTAAAAGTTCAGATTTTCAGGAAATTATATATTTTCACATGACAATTGTTTCGACAACACCAATGTAATATTTACCAACTACCTGCTACTATAGATACCGAAAAATTACCTTAATTAATGTTGTGAGAATTTAACTTTAATAATGGAGAGGTATTTAAATCTAATTGATCGTAACATTTGAATGTTACATTTTGTTAATCTCAATGGCTTCCAATAAATTTCATTTTTTACTTCTTGAGGCTGTATATAAAATATCAGTCGCCAAAAATGTGTTCTTCTGTGTTTTAAGTGTGTAGCATAATTCGAATCTAGACTATGGTTTTTAAACGCTCTTTTATGTTCGTTAATGGGTTGAAGGATCTACCTGTTTGTCCAATATATATTTTAAGACCACATTTCATCCGCATTTCAACCTGTAGAAACCTGATTTTTGGGATTTTGGACATTTCATTTTATTGTTTCCTAAAAATTTTCTTATTATGTTGTTAGTTCTGAAATCTATTTTTAAACCACATTTTGACAAATGTTTTGAAACTTCTAGGTTCTCCTATGTATGTAATTGTTTTCAATTTGTTTTTTATTTATTTATTTTTATTTTATTTATAAAAAACAAATCCAGACAACAGTAAACTCTATTTATCCGAAACCTAATACAGAACACGAACAATTTAAAACAATTACGTATATAGGAGAACCCAGTGAAAAAGTTAAACATTTGTCAAAATGCGGTTTAAAAATAGCTTTCAGAACTAACAACACAATAGGGAAAACACATTTTTGACAATTTTGAAATTTTACATACGGCCATGGAGATTAACAAAATTATTATTATTAAACTTAAATACTCACAACATTAATTAAGCTTTTATTGTCATTTTTCGGTATATATAGTAGCAGGTAGTTTGTATATATTACATTTGATAAAGACACGGTGCTGTGAACTTTTAGTCGGTTAGTTTATTTATTTAGGTCAAACTACTCAATTTACTACTACTCGTTTTCAGTCCCCTGATTTTGAAATCGCTACCCCTATAAAGTTATAAAAAAACACGTTGAAAATTAAGCCAAGCTTCGAAATATTTATCATAAACAAAATGTATGGACTACTATGGCAAAAAAATGCCACAGACGCTTCAAAAGCTACTGGAAGCGGGATGAATCTGCGAATACGGATGAAGCCAAACTCTACAGCCGATACGATTTTTTACCTCCGACACGCGTAAGAAATATCCCTCGGGAACACCAATAACCAATCTGAATTTCAGCGCGAGCCAGAGTTTTTTTTTCTAAAGCAACTCGCGCTGAAAATGTGGGCTGGAAGGATAAGAAGGTTTCAAAGAGTAGGTTAAAGAGTTAGACGTAAGATCCGGAGATTTGTCCGGGAGATTTTGCATGTACACGCGGCAAAACTGGGACTGGGATACTGTCTGGTTGCGCCAAAAACACTGCGAGCGGCCGCTTTGATCGATTCCCGGCGACAGTGGCGTGCTCGGGCCATTCGGTTTTTCCTTCTGGTAAAATCCATTCGAGATTTAAATCATGAAATAATAATCCTGGTCGATAGAAAATAGCGGGATTTATTTGCTAGAGAAATTATATTTGAAGTTTATACGAAATAAAACAAATCCTAGTTTTATACTCTGGTACGCGTGAAAAATATTTCGACTAATAAATTTGCTTATGGGTGATTTCTAAGAACTAAACTTTTTTAAACTTTTTTATTGTTCACCTATTTTACTGTAAAAATAAAAGCCTGAAAGGATTGTAATGACATAAAATAAATTTGAGTTGAAGATCATAGAAACTCTTTGCACTATTTAATCAGCTCCGTGTTTGTAAACAGTACCCAGATGAAGTACTGTGAACATGATTCGCTAAAAGTTTCATAAACTCAAGATAGATGGCGCTCGAGTCATATAAATTCAAATTCAAAAATATCGTTAAATTTTACAGACGAAAGTTATTGAACTTGGCACTCAGTGTCAACGTAAAACATTCCCCAAAAAATATCAATCTTTTAGTTTGATTATAGAAATAAGAAATTGTAAATCAAATCATTTACTGCGGCAAAAAAAAAGAATTTATAGATAAATTTTATAAATGGACATAACGTTGATATATTGTATGATGTCTCTGAAAGACAAATTACACGATATTAAAAATAATTCATATAACAATTTAATTATTAGATTATTAATTAATAACCAGTGAGAACAAACAAAACAAGACATAAAAAACACAGTTAAAACAGAATCACACTTATAGTACTAAATACGTTGTCTGATATTTAGTTTTGAGGGAATTCCTTCGCATTAAATTAATACAGGGTGAGCAAAAATGTTAGAAAAAACGTAAAAAGTTATTTTGCTAAACATAAAAAAAAAATATTGATCAGAAAGTAGTACGTATTTTTCAGAAGTACTTTTTCAACAACGACTGATATTATTAAAGTAAAATTTGAGATATTTCCTACGTTACCCGAACCATTGAATACATTTTAGCTGTCCAAAATTGATTTTTAGCGAGCAGTCCAAAATTGAATTTTCTTTTCTTTAATATGTCATTTTGGTGATTTTATTATTATTGAATTATGAAACTACTTATTTATTTTCAAATGAGGCAACGCAGCTTGGGTTTTTCAAAAACTGACCAACGTAACAAACGGAATTTGTACTTTAAATCTGACATTCTGTCAACGAGTCATTTCTAACTGATGGCACGCCACTGTCGCCGTGAGAAATTGGGCCCGGCTCCTCTTACTTGCAGAAACTTTTGATGGCGTTTGGCGAAACAAAATCGAGCGAGTTATAGGCCCTTTTACGTCAGTGATTAATAATTTTGTCTTTGTGTTGTTTTGCTCAGTATTTTGTTATCCAATCATTATTCATTAATTAATGATTTACCCAAAAAATAGCTGGGAATTCGTTGCGAGATTTGTTATTATTAGGTATTATCAGGGTTGTGGTATCAGTTCTGCTCGTGAAAAAAATACACAAAACATGTGAAATTTCCATTGTTTCAAAATAATTCTAAAATTTAATTAGAAAATAAGTTTGCTTTTATTTCTGTATATTTTTTACCTATGTGATAAAAGTATCATATAAAATTTTATTTTATTATATTATTTTATATTAACAACAAAAACGATTGCAGGCCAGCTTGCTTATGAGACGAACTAAGCAATTATATATATTTTTTTAATATTCCATTTTTTGTTTGGTATTGCCTTCATTTTTATTCTATGGACAGACTTTTCGGACGATAGTTTATTTAAAAAATTATCATAATTTTTAATATAGATTCACCTGCTTAAATATTCGTGTATCATTAATCCATTACCATGATCTATTATTATATAGACATGAATCCAATATACGGTTTGGTAACAACAATATCGTTAATATGACGCAGCAGAGAATTATTATCATTTTTATTTCTTACTTAAGTAATTGTCTATCTGTCTGTGCATTTGTAGAATTTAAACATAAGAACAATTTTCGGTAAAGGTGGATGACCCTTTCAACAACTTATCTATCTAATTTCTATGTTCTACTTTTTTCAAAATGGTTGTTATTAATTAACAGATACTTACTTTAGGAAAATGCGGTTTAGTTTTTAGCTGTCTAAGTTCATAATAAATAAATACGAAATGGTAAATGTAGACTACTAAATCTTGCAAGAAAAAGTTACGATCCTTGGTATATTTATTCCGACAACTTACTAAAATATCTGATAAGCAATTACTTCTTTCTACTTATTGTTCACTGGTACAATCACTCATATCTTATGGAATAATTTATTGGGGTGCTGCCTATCACACAACCCTTCAGGTTCTTTACGTAATACAAAAAAGAATTTTGAAAATTATATTTAAGTTAAATATGCGATATGCTATTTCAAATACTTCACATAATAAAATTATGTTATAAATCATCCCCTTTTTTCTTAATAACAAAAAACCTTACTGGTTAATTCAAAAACTCACGAGTATGAAACACGCTTTAAACTTGGCGAAAATTTAACTTTACAAATGTTTTGGACAGAAAAAATACTTTTATGCTGGTCAAAAAATTTATAACGTATTACCTCTAGAACTAAAAATAAATCAAAATTAAAATCTTAAAATTAAAATTTAAAAAATTCAACTTAATAGTTTCTTTTTTTTTTGGTAGAATTTTTTTTCTTCATATTATATAATAGATGGGAAACATAGTTAAATTAATCTCCACTATGTTCAAGGATGGCGGTCAAGTTTTTAACCTAGTTTACTTTGAATGTGTGTTTTTTTTATTAATAGTAACAAAGTTTTAAATTGTATATTTTTATTGATTTAAATAAATGTTATTATTATTATGATTATTATTATTTTATCCAGAGCTTTTACCAACAAAACTCGACACTAATACACAAAAAATTGTCAAACGGTCAAGACAAAGCAAATTTTTATTTCCATTGACCTTTAATAAAGTCTAGGATACTTTTTACAAAATTTCTGGATTCCTCCTGCGTCGCTTTTTGTTGAGTCGAACTTGCCGACGTTTCGCCAATTATCCTGTTGGCTTCTTCAGAGCTCGTAATTTATTCTGTACCTGCTTATAAGGGGTGTTTTTTTCGATGTATAGAACTTTAAGTTGCAATGATTGCGATTGACATGAATTTTATTTATCCGAAATATAATTTTTAAATATGGTTTCTGGCATATGACCGCTACGGCTGGCGCGGATGTAGTAATCTGGACGTCCAATTTTCGATGACATTGTCGCCGTATATCGGCAATAACACGGCGAATGTTGTCTTCCAAATGGTCAAACGTTTGTGGCTTATCCGCATAGACCAATGACTTTACGTAGCCCCACAGAAAGTAGTCTAGCGGTGTTAAATCACAAGATCTTGGAGACCAATTCACAGGTCCAAAACGTGAAATTAGGCGGTTACCAAACGTGTCGTGACATGTTGCGCCGTCTTGTTGAAACCACATCTCCTGGACATCATGGTTATTCAATTCAGGAATGAAAGAGTTAGTAATCATAGCTCTATACCGATCACCATTGACTGTAACGTTCTGGCCATCATCGTTTTTGAAGAAGTACGGACCAATGATTCCACAAGCCCATAAAGCGCACCAAACAGTCAGTTTTTCTAGATGTAACGGTGTTTCGACATACACTTGAGGTTTAGCTTCGCTCCAAATGCGGTAGTTTTGTTTGTTGACGTAGCCAGTCAACCAGAAGTGCGCTTCATCGCTAAACAAAATTCGCTTATGAAAATCAGGAACAACGGCAATCTCGGCAAACTGAGAATAAATCACTTGACAGCTGTTAAATCGGTCGCCATCTTGAACAGTAATGCCAACTTAAAGTTCTATACATCGAAAAAAAAAACACACATTATATTGTTTGAGGCGGCGGAGCTAAATAAGGGACATAAACACCGTGTCGGATGTCGACTGATTCCCATATTGCTGACAGGTAGAGACCTGAATGGTTAGGTTGTTGATAGATTTCTATAGACTCTCGGATTTTTCATTGGTAAGAGAACTGATTACATGCAAGAATTTTAGTGTTATCGAATAAAATTTTATGTCCGGTTTCATGAGCGTGTTCGGCAACAGCTGATGAGTTTATTTGTCTTAGTGGTAAGGCTCTTCCGTGTTCTTTGAGTCTAGTTGATATTTTTCGTCCGGTCTCTCCAATGTATTCTTTGCCGCATATGCATGGAGTGCTGTAAAATCCTGGCATCTCAAATGGAATTTTATCTTTGACGGACCGAAGATGTTGAGAGATTTTTGGAATAGTGGTAAATCTGGTCTTCTTTAGAACTTTTGATATGTGGTCAGTGATGTTTGGAATGTAAGGAAGGAGTAAGGTGGCAAGTGTAGGATTGCTTTCGACCTCATTGTCATTGGAAGGTTGTGGTGAAGTGTATTTTTTGATTGAACGCTTAATATCTTTAATGTGGAAATTATTAAAGAGAAGAGCAGAGGTAAGATGTTTTAATTCTGGGTTCACTGATTCGGGCTGAGATAGTTTTACTGCTCTAGGATGATGTCATATAAAATGTGTTAAAATTAACAACAATTTTTGTTTAAATTATTTTTAAGTAGACTTTGAAAGGCACTACTACTGTGTATTTTTTAACCTCAGTGGGAGGCTAATTATAACAGAATTTAACTGGGCTATTAGCCGGTCGATCGTGATTGACAATTGTTCCTGTAAATCGAAACAACGCATACAAAGATCTTTTCTAAGAATAAACCGCATTTTCCGACAAAATTACTCAGTTGAAATCACATCACCATTTCAAATGTCAAAGGGGCCGCGTTCTTGTTCTAAAATTTTGATACCCAAAACTACTGCAACCGCGAGAAAGAGAGCGTATATAACGAACGAATTAGACGTTCACCATGGAAGGTCGCAGAAGGTCACGCGCCGCGATTTCACTTTTATTTTTTATTTGGATTGGAAATGTTATTCCTGCAGGTAAACCTACGCAAACGTTGCCGTTCGGACGGACTTTATTTATCCGCCGCCGCGATAATAACTTTGTTTCTATGCGAAATATCCATTATTTATACAAAACCGCAAAATAAATATCAAAATTCAATACAAAAAGCGATTCCGTCGACGGTAGCCGGCCAGTGCACAGTCCGATCGTCATGGGACAACTTTTCAGATTTGTAATCGTCGTTGTAGTTGGTTCTGTTTGGTGTTCCGAAGAGATTCGTACGAAAACCCAACGATTTTACACCCGGCGGCCATCTTAAGTTTGTTTTCTTTGCAGAATCTAATTTCTATAGGGAAGAACCGTGCGCCGCACAGCAGGGCTACTGCGTGCTAGAAAACGAATGTCCGACGAGTCCTACCGATCAATTACGGAGTCTGTGTCCGGGCCAAAAAAATGCCGGCGCTGTGTGCTGTAAAAACTGTAAGTGGTTCGATATTTTAAGTATTTATTTGGGTAGAAGCAATTCGATTCGTTGGCATTATTTAAACATTTTTCTTTTATTCAAACAATAACCTGTAATATCCCGTAAAATGGCGTCATTTAACTTAACTCTGTACTAGAGTCCGATTATCAAGTTTGTCGCTGACAGTATGGTAGCACCCATGACATATCTGGTTAACTTATATAGCTACTAGACATATAGAGGCCCTGCCTATGCTGACAGTGCAGGAAATCATGAAGCAACTATGTAAAAAAAATTGCGAAGGAAATTCTGACGTAGGACCTATAAAACCTTGCAGTTTTCAACAAACAACAACATTTTTACTTCGGTATTTCCTCAAAATATGTCGAAATCCTATTAAACTTTCAGGAAACAAAAAAGAGTTAAGGTCTGGAAAAGCAGTGCAGAATTACAGCACCCACGTCGGCGTCAGTATGATTCTGTAACTAATTTGGCGTTTTTGTTCTTCCAGCCCTGTAGATACGGCGCATCTAAGGGAAAAAATGTTAAAAAATCACGTCCTGTAGACAGCAACTGACAACAACATATTACCCAAACATCCTTCGTAGCTATTTAAGTGTACCTGAAACCGTACAGTGTGTTAATGTCAAATATATAGGCACTACTTTTTCTCTAAGATCCTATTAGGACCTCCTATTTACGTTGGAGGGTGACGCATGCGCAAAAGATCCATACCTTCTCTACGCAAAAATCAGAGCCACCTGCGGCGCATCAATTTTTACCGTAATAGTTAGTTATTGTTGGATAAAATCTCACCTTGCTAGAAGAGAACAAAAAAAAACAATTTAAAAAATAATGATATCTCGGTTAGTTCTTCTTATGTTCCAGCTATCAGTGGAGTACCCCAAGGAAGCATACTGGCACCGCTTTTGTTCATAATTTGCTTTGATAACATTACGCAGGAAATATGCAAAATATCGACCCGTGCGGTGAATAAAAAAATAAAATAAACTCGCTTTAAATGAATCGGAAACAGGAATGATGCTTTTTAGCTTGACAGATTTAAACAAGAATTAAATAATATTTTATTGACGAACACTTCACGTGGACTATTCAGGTTCGTTATATGTTTTTTTTTATTGGGAAACCCAAGTGCCCAAGCAAGCGTATTGTATTTCATTTGTTTATTCTGTGGTTTAATAAACGTACTTTGTTTCACTCGCAGTTCCGCAGCAAAAGCTCAATTGTTTCCAGTTGCACAACGATTGCCGAGACACGTGCCCACCGAATTTGAACCTGGGCAGAAAGGGATGCCCTACAGGAACGAGTTGTTGCGTGTTGGTATAATATAATTATATGCATTGAAAACATGCTTTTTGTTTAATTCGCTTGGACCTTTTCTGTACGAGGCTGATGTATCACCTCAAAACCTTAGCTAAACAAAGCTTACAGGGTGGCAGATAATCAATGCAATAGGAATATTAAAATTTGAACCAATTCAGTCTTATCTAAACGTCGAACGCTAGTTTTCGATTTTTCCGAAATGAGTGTATTGTAAGCTGGAAAAATGAAAAAATTTCACGCAAAAATGACGTTAAGTAAAAAACTTTTAATTTTAACTTGACATCCCTTTTAAAATAAAAGCTCAATTTGCGTAGATCTTGGTGGTTATTGCCACGCAATTCACATTTGTGTACTTGTACTATGAATTAAAGGATACTCTGTATATACGCTGGTTTGTTATAACTGTGGTAAATTATATATTTTTTGCATATTGTGTTTGATAACCGAAAAATATAATAAAATCACTCACCAAATGCGTACAACATTGAATTTCAATGAAGGAGGGATGTTGCCGACTAAATATAATGTTATTTACTACGTCACTGGTACGAAAACTATAACGTTGTCCTCTGACGCAAGTGGACTCCGAAACTCTCGACAAACAATCCTTGAAAAACTGTCTGCGAAGTGGAGTTGCCAGCGGAAAGCATTAAAATAGGTAGGAAGTTATTTCTTTGCGGTAAAAATAACTTTTTTCCGAGTGAAAATCCTTGGTGGCACTTCTATCCTCTCTTTTTCTGTAATATTCGATCAACACATTACATTGCACTTAAAAAAACATATTCGAGGATAATTTAAAATCTCTTACGCCTTCCAAGTCCAAAGTACGTTTGTAATATAGTTGTAACAGAAATTATTTATACGCGATTATTTCAAAACTATAAATGGATTTCTGTTTGTAGCGCCAAAATTTCTTGGCCTGAATATGAAAGAAACAAAGTAGAGTAGAGTATTATTTTTCAATATAATCCCCCTTAACTTCATACACTTATTACATCTCTTTATTAACAACTCAATCTCTTTAAAAAAATATTCTTTTGGTTTGTCTGCAGAATGAGCTAAAACAGCCTCTTTTAACTCAACTTCGTCGTTAAATCGCCGTCCACGTAAGTTCTTTTTCAAATACCCAAACAAATAATAGTCGCTGGGGGCCATATCTGGACTGTAGGGAGGATGATCTATCTGTTGGAACCCACACTCTAAAATGGCAGCCAACACCGGCAGTATGGACAGGTGTATTACCGTGCAAAGGACGCTTTTCCTCGACGTTTTACACATGTGCAGTCTCGCAATTTATGCAATAATGTTGCGTAATATTTACGATTGACAGTGGTATGAGTTTCTTTCAAATCTATCAAAAGAATTCCTTCACAATCCCAAAAGATCGTGGCCTGAATTTTCTTGGAAGTGCTTCACCCTTACGACGCCACTCCATTGATTCTTTTTTCGATAGAGAGTCGTAATAGAGAACCATAGTTTCATCTCCCGTCACAACCATCTCCCGTTTCTATTATAGGCCTCGGTTCCGGCCCACAGAGTTCCAAAAAAGAAGGTGCACACTCGACACGCCGTTTCTGAATAGCCGAAAGATTTTTGGAAACCCATCTTGCACTAACCTTATGCTAACCTAAATGACCATGCAGGGATTCGACGAACACTTGTATCAGAAAGGTTAGAAATTTCTGAGATTTCCTTGACCAATACCACCTTTTCCACAATCGCAACAATATCTTCCGTTATGACGACTCCTGCCCCGTTCGAAAACGTTTTGCCCATTCTTTCATTACAGAATACGAAGGAGAACTTTGGCCCTACACAACATCCAGCCTTTCTTTAATAATTCTAGGTGCTAACCCTTCTTTTGCGTTATGTGCGACATTTTTTCGGACACGTCTTGTTTAAAATGCTGTCAATAAAAAAGTATTTGAACCACAATTTTTTTTTGCAGCCGACTAAGATATATATTTATCGTGATACTGGAGCTGCATCTATGTCAGGCCGGGAAATTTTGGCGCTAACCTCGCAAAGTTTGTATTCTTCCTCCATTATATTCCTTAGTGTTTTTCTATTTTTCCATGGAACCTCTTTTATAAATAGACATTATCCACGCCTCTTTCCAGTTCATTGCAATTGTGTCTCTGTTGATATATCTAGTCAACAGGTATTAGGTGGTTTTTCCGTTCCATGTTTCAGCAACTCTGCTGGTGGTTCTTCAGGCCCAAGTGCTTTTTTATTTTTCATATATCTTCTAGGTATTGGCTTTGTATCTGGTGGTATGTTCTTCTAATTGCAAACTTGAGGTTCAGATAAACGATGTTTTCCAGTTTTTTAGCAGTCATCATAGTGATTTGTTTGCTCTCTCCATATCATAGATATATCAAAATGTAGGGATCGCCTACTTTTTTTAAATAACTTAAATATGGAAAACTGCCTGCTGTGCATTTTTGGATAAACGAAGATATACTTAACGCATATTATCCCAAGCATAAAAAAAAATAAAAAAATGCTTTTTTGCTCTGAAATTATTTATTTTGTTGCACTTAAGAGTACATTACATGTGCCAAAAAAATAAAAACTCGAAACATACAAAAAAATACTGGTGCGTAAACGAACCACTGGAAAAAACATTAAATAATGTTTTGTGGCGCATAAGATGTAACATATAATTTATACATAAATATACAAAAGTTCAAATTCGACAGAAAACAACTAAAAGTAGATTGTTTTCTAAATAGAACCAGATTTGATACAAAAAAAAAAGCATAATACTTTATGGTGCACCGCTTTTGTTAACTTTTGAAGTCATATATAAGATCTTTCCTTTACACACAAATTAGCGATCTCTACTTTATATCCTTTAGTAGTCATAATAATAAAATTTCTAAATTGATGCGCAAAAATATTTCCTGGATGTGACAAAAAAAATCATAGAATAGATTAACGCACCATTGGGACAAAATGGGTTAACAATTAACGGTTCTAATAATCATTTTTATTACCAAATTACTACTCTGCTTTAGATGTTACAATCTGATACTTACTGATATTACTTACGAAAAAGAAATAATTTTTTATATACTGAAAATTGGAAAAATATTTGTTCCTTCAATAATTGCTAAACAAAATCACACTAATTTAACACATTTTGTATCGCCTATGGTCTCGGATAATCCCACCGGTAAGAACTATATATAACTACAAATTAAATCGCTAATTATTGGTCGCTGTTTTCCAACAACGAAATTGGATGGGAGTGATTAAAAACTCATTCATTAATATATTACGTCCCTTGATCGATATCTAGCTCCAATTAGGTGCAATTAAAGTATTAAGGAAATACGAGTAAAAGAATACTATAATCTTACGTACAAATTTCGCTATACACCTTAACGATCCACAGATCTAAAACACTTGAAGGGAAATAAAACAAACCAGTATCGAAGTCTAACAAGTTTGCTAAATTAAACTGCAAGTATGCGAACTTATTGTTGGTATATTAAAATTGTTTTAGTTACCAACCCAACCTAATCAACTGCCAATAATGTATTCTTTTACGATGCTTTCGAAGTAGTACAAAAATAGAAGAAAAACTTAAAGAATAAAAGAATGTAAGTTACAGTAGAATGGTCAAAAATTCCGGTTTCTATTTTTTATAACATCAAAAAATGTATTAAAAATATTAAAAACACTTTCACTAAGACAGATCGGATGTTGGGTCGTCCTATTTATTTATCCTCACTGCCGACTGTCAATAAAATACCACAGTCAACAAAATGGTTAGTTCAATTTATAAGTAAAAATAATAATCACAGACGAATTTATGGCTAACGCAACTGCAATCGGAATTAAATATATCTAAATAGCTGTTAATATTTTGCATATATGGAACATTTTGTGTGACACTGATCTTGGGGAGAGGAATTTGTCACTAAAACATTCAGAATAACGACCGATCAACAAATGTAGTTCCCACAAAACTGTTTTCCATAATTCTAGAATTCTAACAAAATAGAAGGTTTTAACTAATTTCCGTTTGGGTAGAATTAATTCCACCGTTTTAATTTTAGTACGTGGGAAATGCCCTTGATGTCAGGACAGTGAATTATGCAGTAATTTGCGACGAACGTCTATAGTTTTCAATGAGCCCATTATGTAAAGCCCCGTGCAAACAAAAGTCACGGTCAACGGTCAATAAATGGAAATTTCCACAGAATTGTTTTCCGTAATTCTAGAATTCTAGAAAAACAAAAGCTTTTACCCAATTGCACCGCTATAATTTTACTAAGTACCGCAATGAATACGAGAATTTCCGTTAATTTTATGTGTGACAGTGATGGCGTACAAGGGTGTTTTGGAATTCGAAGTTAAATTTAGACGTAACGCTAACTTAATGGGAACCTATACCAATTAACGAAACAGTGGCTTAATAATTAATACAAGAGGGGCATTATAGAACCCATCCCGAAATATACCTATTATTGTCTCAGCAATTAATTTTCTGGAACGTCGTGTCTCGCCGAAATCAGTGTACCAAATCGATTCGAATTCAATTACTTAATTTTCGTGTTACATACCTTTCTCCGTCGTCATTAAAAGCATAGTCACCTAGAAAAAGATCCCTAAGGCGGTAGCGCGGGGGTAGAGGGAGGGCGGGGATGGCATGCATTCCTTCTTCGATGCCTGGACCATCCATAGTCGATCATTATATCGTTGGTGCGATGTTGTTCATTGTGTATCGATAAGTAGCCCTTTCGATTTTTCGCACTGAAATCGAAACAGAAAATTGAAATATAGTAGGAGCGAGACAAGGAAGGTCTGTGTGACACAGAAGTAGCTTAAGTTTAAGAAATTATTCCTTGGTTATATGAATCTGATTTTAGTATGGCTCTAATTTTTAGAGGGCGCCACCTACATAATGTTGTTTATAAATTTGAAACGTTTTAATTTTTTCTCACATATATTATAAAAATTACATTAAAACGGCGTAATGTCATACAACTAAAAGTATTAACGTTTTTTGAGGAAGACTAAAACTTACATGTTTTTGCATCATTTGGTGGTTTATTAAATTCGATTTCCATTGCAACTAGTTGTCTGTGCCATTTAAACATGTCAGAGGATTGATTAATTTATGCTGCCATTTTGATCTATGGTTTTAGCAGTAATTTTTTTAAAGGCACAAATACAGGAAGTTTCTTTCAATATCAGAACAATTGTAGCTAGCTAGCAGGTACTCGCGATCTTTCATAAACGTTTGGACATTTCCGTATAACTCTAACTCACAAGGGCCTATCATCAGTCGAATACCGGAAGTCGTACTAGTTTGAAAATATTTTAAAGTGAAACGGGCTATTGAATTATCCTGGATTGTAAGTTTTTCCTCATTTTATCAAACAGAAAATGCCTTTCAATCAACTTTTAAGTGCAATTCGACAAAAGAAATGAATATTTATTTTTTTTACAAAAGTTTATTGCATGTATTATAATTATAAGAACTTCCACAGGCTACTGTAAAACTATTTAGAAATCTTCTGACTGAACACTGAAGAAGCCAACAGAATGAAAGGCGAAACGTCGGCAAATTTAATTTATAAACAACCGTCACAGAAGATTTGTCAGCCGTATAATAAGCGAATCTAACCTAACTTTTCAAATAAGTTTCTCCTACCGATTTGATTTGGAGAAAGTTACGTAATAAAAACGTCAGTAATAATTTTCTAATTGGTTAGGTATGTTGCGTTTGTTCTTAACTAAATCAATTCAACAAAACGTAAAATAAAGGAATAAAAAAACAAAGTCGTTTTATTTATATTTATCATTAAATTTATAATAATCTGAGTTCGTTTTTGAACAGGTTTAACGAAAACAAACAACGGTTATATATACAAGTATTTATAACATCTTTTTTCGAATTTCTAATTTAAAATAACGGAAGAATTCCCGCAAAACCTTTTTGATCTTCGGATTGTGTTGGTACAATATTAACTTTGTTCAGTTGTCCAAACAAGAAGTTTCTCTAAGATTCGACCAAAATTAAATGTCAAAAAATACAGGAAACAATAGATGATGTCAGAGTCTGTTTATGACTTTATGGCAACGAATTTGTACGAATGTCTTCAAATGTATTAAGTAAATTGACATGGAATTGTTTTTAAAATCCAAAAAAACAATTTTCAACCTAAAAACGCTGAAGGACAAGTTGGAACCGAACTTATATGAAACGCTTCAGTTTTTTCTAAAGAATCAAAGCGGTGTGCGATCGTGCAAGGTGAGAAATTTCGGGTGACTACGAAATATTTACTTTTAAAAATCCTGGTAAGCTTTTCGCGCCCCGATGCGACTCGATGAGGCATTTAAATGAAACGCGAAAAAGTTCTGGCTCGGAAGAAAAGCGAAAATACGCTGCGCGCAAAGTATGGTCCGAATTTCAAAACAGTTTTCACGGAGATTTTCACATTCTGAACGAAAACGTGCCATGTGCCTCAATAAAAGCTAGACTTCATAGCGACGTTGCCGCAGCTTTGAAATATTTTCACATCGGACAATTTCGACGTATCTGAATTTATTTGATTGGAACGACTTGAAACGCGTAAGAAATCTTCATGACGGGCCATGATTTTTGCTAAATGGATCTCGCATAAAGTCGTGTATTTTGTGAAAATCGTTGATAAATTCTGGCCGTACGTATCGCGTGCATTCCTGATGACCTGGCAACGTCGCGGTGACGTAACTTGAGCGATTGACACAATTCTTTTCGTGTAGGGGGTGAATTATAAATTTAAACAAGCTTATTGCACAACATGCATGGAACGTTTTTTTATATGGAACTTTAATTATTAACTATCTGCCTTATATACACATAAGGGGTTTATTTTTATTGATCATCTCTTGTGTTACACGCAAATTAAAATTAAATGTGTTTTCATTATCTGAATTGGAAAAGTGCTACCACAGCCGAGGTTATTTATTTTATCAGTTTGTTAACTTGCCACTTTTAAAGTTGACTGAAGCTCATTTATAGCTAACAAAACCATTTTTATATGAACCTTAACATTAACAGCCAACTTCCTAAAATGTTCTATCTCTTTGGAAAGTAATTTTAATCTAATATCTGCATATTTATCAAGTTCTTCACAGTTCATTTCAAGTAAATTGTTCAAGCCTATGTCTACATAAATTGTTTCGCAATTTGAAATTTCACCACTACACATAATATTGTGTCCCATATCAAACATCACATTCATATCGCGGTCTTTGTCCTTGAACTCTTGTAAATTCCGAGCCACTATTTGCGCTTCCTTCCAGTCTTTGTGCTCTTGAGACTTATTCAAAAGTAGAGCTTCGATGTCCTTAAGGTCTTTCTTCAGTTTTTCCTGAACAAACTTTTCGTAATCATTTATTTTTTCGCGAATTTCGGATTCGTTCATTTTGGGTATGCGTCCAGTTAAAAAATAAACTAATAAAACCGAATTTTAAAATTAATACTGTATTTTCAAATGAATAACAAACATATTAAAAGTGTTTTAGGTTAGTCTCACAGAAAAATATAGGTAAGATCAATTTCCAACGCATTCAATAAAGTAAATTGTTTTTGTTTGTCTCAAGTGCGTCTTGTCACTATTTATTTAGAAATCGGTAAGCAAAGGCCATACAAAAAATAACCAAAATTAAGATTACAAATTGTAAAAATAAACTACAGACAAAATAACTTTGGTTTACGAAGACTTTGTTGTTGCCTGTTCTGTTTCTAGTTACATTTTAGTGAGATTGACGTGGAAGTTACCAAGTCATGCGCATTGCAACCTTACGTGGCATAAGTTTGTGGTGTTGGGTAGAAGTGATGTCTTTTATTTAATATTTCTTGCAATATTTTTGTGTCTAAGTATTTACGTAAGTGTTGTCATGAAGCCATACGTTCTTAAACGTAGTCCCACTATGGATTTACACAAATAATAACGAGCTTGCAGAGAAATAGAGAAATTTTGAGTGTCTTGGTTTCAAAACATTATCAATATGTACATATTTTTGAAATTAATTAAGATATATTGCTTTTTCTAATTAAAGAGTTCAGACAACTTACGACAGAATGTGGAGCTTTGTAGAATGCGTACTTGGTAAAATTTTTGTAAGAATCAGTCACATTTAATATCAATAATAATAGTCTTTGTGTTCCTTAGAATCTTTTAAAGATAATTTTTAATTTGTTTTCGTTTTTCCATTGATATGCCAACGTGTCAGTAAGTCTATCCTTATATCTGTCCATAATGTTGAATGTGTGACATTTCAATCAAAAATAAATTGTGTTTTAGAACAATGAATTCACAGTACTTACCACCACCATCCTTGGGAAATTCACAGCCAGATTTTTCTGCCCAGTCAAATGTAGGCGATCAGAATTTCCAGAATGTTCCTTTAGGACCACCAAAAACTGGTGCTGCGCAGAATTTTTTTCCTAATCAGGGAGTTCCAGCATTTACTAATACATTCCCTTCTGGTTTAACCCAGAATTTGAATAGTTCTAATGTGACAGGATTAAATGGTCCTGGGCAGCATCAAGTAAATACTTCTAACAATGTCCCATCACAGGTAAGCTTTGGTTCTTAATTTTTTAAAAATTAAACGGAACATTTTTTTACAGTTTTCTGTACACCCTCCAACATCTAGCACTCCCTTACCGCCAAGTTCAAAAGCGTTTATACCTCCTACCCAACTACCACCTGTCACTCAATTACCACCATCCCAATTACCATCTTCACAACTCCCACCTACCAAAATTTCACCTCAGCCTCTGTTGAGTCAGAGACCACCAAGCCGAGATCAAAATTATGAAACACTATCAGATTCAAGAACTGTGGAAGCTTCTAAAGGACAAATAAAATTCCAAAATGGCCCTTCACAGCAGCAAGGTTAATATTTTTCAATCCAAATTACCTAATCATCTTTTTCATAATATGTGTCCATTTAAGGTACATTGGGTATGCCCGGCAACCTATTGCATTCAAATTTGCAAACCTTACCACATCCAGCGGGTACTCAAAATCAATTTCCTCCAAATTCTGGTCCAGCATCATCTGGACCCATATCTGGTGTTCCACATCAACAGATGCCGCCCAGAGGAGGCCCCAATCAACCACCTAATCAGCCTGGTTTTCCACCAAATATGCCAGGTATTTCTCAAGCAGCTTTAGAAACATTTGCTCAGGGGCCTCCTTCCATCACTACAGCACCTAGCGGAGCACCACTACAAGGCCGGGAGGGCTTCCCATTGAGTGGAGGTCCACCGTTAAATAACTTCCCCCCAACCTCGGGTGCCTTGCCATTTGGGGGACCACCCCCTGTTGGTCCAGGGAAAGCACCGCCACTACCAGGTGGTGCTAGCAACGCTCCACCACTAGGACCTTCAGCGCAACAGTTTGCTCCACCAAGTAAGTGACTTTGTATTCTCTTCTGTCTTGTAGCTTCCTGATTACAATTTTTAGGCCAGCAGCCACCAATAAATCCCCCGTTACCCGGAACCGCTCCAGTTGCAGGGGCGCACCCAATAGGACAACGGCCCAGACAACAAAATTATCCACCCATGCCTGGGACGCAACTGCCACCGAATCAATTTCCTCCTCAAAGCAATCTTCCCCCTGGTGGTGGGTACCGACCAGGCCAATTGCCACCAATGCCGAACCAACCAGCCAGTGGGCCCAATCAGTTGTCTAGCCAGTTCCAAGGGATGAATTTAGGTGGACCACATCAGTACTTGCCGAACCAAGGAAATCAGTTCAAGAATGTTATGAATGGAGAAAACGGACCTCACATGCCCCCACCTCTTAATCAGCAGCCCTTTATTAATGGTCAGCAGCAGCAACAGCAGATGAGGGGACCACAGGCACCGGGCTTCCCTCCTATGCCGCCACAACCGATGGGAGGGGGATATCCTCAACCTCAATACCCTCAACAACCGCAACAACAACAAAAACGATTAGACCCAGACCAGATGCCTAGCCCTGTATGTATTGCCTTCGTTATCTGACCGTTATTTCTTAAACAGTCATTTTCTTGTTCCTTGAGTGATCATATCATTCAGTCCCAGTTAATGATGTGTCTTATTGTTATTGATTAAAACCGTAACAATATGAACATCAACCATAGGAAGCTGATGAATTGTACATGGGTGAGGTATAAATCATTGAATGATTTCAACATTTCATTATTTGGAATAAATTGTATTTTATAAAATCCTAAAATTGTCTGGGAAAGTGGATGGGTTAATCGATTTGTCTTTTAATCTTAATCTTTTAAGTTCCATGGTTCAATTTTATTCAAATTTTAATAATTAAAATTAAAATAATAAAATGAAAGTCGAGGACACCCATTAAAATAAGGAACAAACTTAAACTTAAAAATATGTGGTAAAAAGTGTTCACCAAATTTCAGACCTTTAACAATCTAATATAAATCTTATGGTCTGTGCTTCAGGCATTTCGCCATTTCGTGCTAATTTCGCCTATTAATTTTTTATTATTGTTTTTTCTTTCTCAACATGCATTTTATTTATTTAAAAATTTAAGAATCAATTTACCAACTAAAATTTTGCAGTTGCAGATTTTTATGATTTTCTCATCACATATTTTGCAATTTCCGTCAGTTTAGTTTTGGCACTATTTAAAATGAAAAATAGTAAATTTGTTTAAAAATATAATGACAGTTTAATTATAAAGTATTTGAGATAGATATAAGACGCAACAATTTATTATTCTTTGATTAGAACTGAACACAAGTATATGTTACAGTTTTAACTAATAGTCAAGTTATATTGCCATTATTGTACAGTGTGGTTCAAACTTGATTGATATATTTTGCCCATTTTTTGATGGCCGATATTATAGTGCAAATGGTGTATTTAATGAAGTAAATGTTTTTATTTATTATTAGGCTAACAAAAAAGGACTAAAAGAATTAACCCATTATGTTAAGGAAAAAACAATACAAGTTTTTATATGTCTATCTAAATACTAGTTTGAGCTATAAAAAGATATAATCTCGATATATTAAAAAAAATCTGCAAGTCAAAATTATAACCTAAAAACTTAAGAAATCAATAGGTAAGTCACATTAACGTAATGATAATGGTGCTAAACACATTGACGTATTAAACAATTATTGTTATATTAAAAAGCATATTTTATAGGTCATACACGGCATTAAAAATATGATACAGTAATCAAAAGTTAAGGAAAAAGTTGTCCGTGGTCTTATTCAATTTTAATTATTGTAATTTTGTGTATGGTTTTTGTTTAGATAGTGCTGAGGAATTTTTAACCATTGTAAATTTAAATTGTAATACTTATAAAATTAAATACAAGAATTAATTAATGCTTTACAAAACTTCTGGATTCCTCCTGCGTCGGTTTTTGCTGAGTCGAAATTGGTGACAATCATCCTGTTGGCAATTTCGACTCAGCAAAAACCGACGCAGGAGAATTCCAGAAGTTTTGTAAAAAGTATTACAGTAGCCTGTAGAAGTTTCTTTGAAAAATTAATTACTGCATCTACAGAATTTGCTGAAGAGATTTTTTTCTGTTTTTTTTTGGTTTTCTGAAATAAAAGTCGTTTGTTATTATTATTATGTTTTTCTATTGTAAAATATTGCTTTACATACAAAAATATTATTTCTCATCGCGAAGTAATCGTCACGAAAGTCATTTTTAAAAAAACGCATTACGTGGAGATAAAAAAAGAAACTAACATCACGCTGGCGGACCTCATTTGAACGCGGCAATTTAATTTAATTCTCTAAAAACAATATATTTTAAATTGCATTTAGAGACTGATTCGCAATACAAATAGGATTTTAGTTCACTCGATTTTTCGGGGTTTTATGCAATTTTGGTAAGTAATGGTAATTTTGTTGTTAGATCCAAGTGACCCAAGACGATCAAAACACTAGATCGGGCGTGTTCGTCACGGCAGAGAGGGGCACGGTGCCCCCTCTGGTGACTACCAACTTTATCGTCCAAGACCAAGGGAACGCCAGTCCTCGGTTCATCAGATCCTCGATGTATAACGTGCCCATATCACAGGTACCTGAAGCGTAGATAAAGGGCTCCCTTAAACATTTCAATCGGTCCCTATAGGATATAATGAAGCAAACGGCTGTACCGTTCAGCTTGGTCATCAGTCCCATGGCTAGAACGATGGACGAAGAGTATCCACCCCCGTTGGTGAATTTCGGTGAATTGGGTCCTGTGCGATGTATAAGATGCAAGGCGTACATGTGTCCGTTCATGCACTTTCTGGATTCCGGGAGAAGGTTCCAGTGTTTGTTTTGCAAAGCGACCACAGACGGTAAGTGGTTAATATTAAAATATCTTTGTCCACTTATCTAATACTTCACATGAGAGTTTTTTTTGCTTATTTTCACGTATTTATAACCTAATCTAAAAATCACTTCTGATTTTACTTTTTTTTTTAGTTTGTATTTAATTTGCATAAATACTGACTACATAAGTAAAGTTTTGTAGTATGAACATTTAAAAAAGTAAAATATCTCCTTCGAAATCACATAAAGGACTTTTTTATTATTATAATATAAACAAACTAATGAAAACACAAAGAGTAATGGAAGGACTAAACATAAACAGCAATTAGAGGACATTAAACGGACAAGAATAAGTAGATAGATAGCTTCCATTACAGAGAGTGAAAGACCTTGTGATTGACATTTGTCGTGAAAATGAGAACTTGTTATCTGTTGTAAGATCAAGGTTTCTTCTTAATTTAATTTAATTTAATTTTGTCCCTGCCATCTTTAATATTCACATTTTGCAGAAGATTAGATATGCTCCATCGAGCATAACGATGATGGGGGATTGCTGCAGTTTCCTGACAAAAAGACGGAAGATTTCACTCAAAAAAGTCTTAGTAAAGTTTTTTTTTCAAACTTTTTTTTTAAACCAGGCTTTCACTTTTTTACTGAATAAAAAAATAAATTATTTTAGAAATAACGTTTTTTCCTTTAATATTTACCTTACCAATAAATGCATAGAATTTTTGAAATCAGGCTACAAAAATTATATAAAACCAGTTTTGGTTAGTTATATAATAAAAACGTCTGTCAAAAAGTTTAATTTTGTAGCCTGGAAATGAATGTAAAATGAAGTCGTAAGGTTTACATTCTAAAATGGACGTTTCAGTACCGGCCGAATATTTCCAACACCTGGACCATACGGGTAGACGGCTGGATCGGTTAGAACGTCCCGAATTGGTCCTGGGTACTTACGAGTTTGTCGCTACCGCGGATTATTGCCGTGATAACAAGCTGCCGAAACCACCAGCGATGATATTCATCATCGACGTCTCGTACAATAACATAAAGTCCGGACTAGTGCATCTGTTGTCCGCCCACATGAAGGAGATCGTGCGTAACTTGCCCGTCGACCAAGGTCACGAGAAAAGCAACATGAAGGTCGGGTTTATAACCTACAACAGTTCCGTGCACTTTTATAATATAAAGGTGAGTGCCCATCTTGGTAGGTTTTATTTTTTTAATTTGGATGTTAAGTGGTATTTGATTTTAGTATTTAGTAGTATAATAAAAATAAACGATTGGTCAGTCGTTTATTTATTTATTTATTTATTATTATTTATTATTTGTTTATTATTTTTTATTGAAAACTAAAATTTTAAGTGGTGATGGCATTTATGATTTTTATAAATATTACAGGTTAAATTTAGAATTAATTGTTTTTGACCGTTTCTGTATTGGAGAGGCACGAATTTGTTTGTTGGTCCTTTCATTGATTCCCATTAAATTTAGTTGCTTGAAAACCACGCACAAACTGCTATGCAGTTGTTTTTTTTTTACTTCATATTTTAAATAATAATATTTGTTTTTTTCTCTCTGATTTTGCTTTGCTTCAATTAACTTATGTTAAAATTTTGCGTGATGGTTATTGGTTGTTTGTAAATAAAATTATTATTATTATTATTAAAAATAAGAGAAAAAAAATGTTAACATATTTATTTTTTGGTATTCCAAAATTAATATAATAAAAAAATAATTAAACTAAAGATATATTCTAAAGTAAATCACAGGATAGTTATTAATTTTAGTATTTTAAATTCGCCCTTTGATGATTTAAAATATATTTCAGTGCTGAAAATGCTCATTCAACACTTACTTGTGTCATAGGAAAACCAATAATTTGTTTTGCAACGTTATACAATTCATTTGATGATGTTTCCTTTGCTGCCCAATACTTTAAGACGCATGTATCTCGCTCGAAACTTCATAATAATGAACTAACAACCATTGAATTATGAGATTTTGAAGAAATATTTCCTTTTTGTTTTGAACACTACTCTATTTCATCTTCTTCTGTTGACTTTAGAGATGACTCTTCAACGAAGTTGTTCCCTTCATTTATGTTTTTTAGAGTATTTGCTTCAGATCAACTTGATATTCTCTTAATCAAGTCAATATTATTTTTGAAATGTGTGAAGAAGCATGCCTTTCCTTCAATTACCGCATCGCCAACATCCTTAAAACTAGGCAGTTATTATTGCCAACAAATTGAACGTTGATTCCTAATATACTTCTATCGAGTCTACTTGATTCATCAACTTTTAACTTTCAAACTCAAAGCACTTAACGACACCTTTTTTAAAATATTTTCCGGGTTAATTGCGTTTTTATTGTCTAGTCCAGCCATTATCGGCTCTAAAATTTTTCGAAAACCCATTAAATATGCTGAATGGACCGCAGGTAACTGTTACCAGTTCTGTACACGGTTTCTTCAACAAATCAGGCGTAATGCTAACTCAATTATGAATTTTTTGTCTTATAACGACATCCATCCATCGTAGGTTGGATATTTAGCCGTCTTTTTTTAGTTGTTGCTGATGAATTTGACGAGGGCGCTGCAAGTTTCCTGAATGATTTCCCTTTATTTATAGTTGCACTCTTTGACTTTACAAGTTGGTCGATTTGTTAGAGCATCGTAAACAAAACATTGTCAAAACGGATTAATATGATATCTTCTCATTGTAAAAGGGCTTTAAAATATTTTTTTAAGTTTAAATTATATTATTATTTTAAAATGTGTATATGTGTATAACAAACATATACGTTCTTGTTTTCATCCCGTTCTTAGTCCCTGTTTTTAAAAGTTAGATGAACGATTATTTTTGTGTAAAAAATAAAAAGGCATCGCCTTTCGGATACAGGGCACGCTGGCCGCTCCGCAAATGATGATCGTCGGCGACACCCAGGAAATGTTCATGCCCCTTCTCGACGGTTTCCTCTGCACTCCGGAGGAATCGGAGTCGATGATCGACGCCCTGTTGGAACAAATCCCGGCCATGTTCGAGGAAACGAAAGAGACGGAGACGGTTTTGTTGCCCGCCATCTTGGCCGGTTTGGAAGCGTTGAAGGCGTCCGAATGCGCGGGCAAACTGCTGGTGTTCCATTCGAGTTTGCCGACGGCGGAGGCGCCGGGAAAGTTGCGAAACCGCGACGACAGGAAACTGCTGGGCACCGATAAAGAGAAGACGGTTTTGTCGCCCCAGACGCAGGCGTACAACCAGCTCGGTCAAGATTGCGTCGCTGCCGGATGTTCGGTAGATCTTTTCGTCTTCAACAATTCCTACATCGATATCGCCACCATTGGACAAGTATCGAGGCTCACCGGCGGCGAAGTTTTCAAATATACGTATTTCCAGGTGAGTTTTGCTTTCCATTATATATTTTCTTTTTTCATTTTTTCGTTTTTATTGGTTTTAAACTGTATTTAAGGAAAAAGTGAAAAAAAAAAACATCATAAATGCAGGGAATGATCTAAACAACTATCTTCTCAAATAAAAGAGCTTAAAAAATACAAGTTGTAATATAAACAATGGATTGCTTCTTTTTTTATCATTTTCTTTTTCAATCTTTTTATTGTGTTTTTAAATAACTTTATCTTTAGGTGCGCTTTGCGGTTGTTTTTATAATTCTGTTTTTTAAGTTGTTTGTTTTTATAAGTTATAATATATGAATATATAAATATGAAATGAAGTTTCTTTTTTTATAATTTTCTTTTTCAATTGTTTTATTTATTTGTTTTGATAGTTTGTTTTTTGAAATTATTTGTTTTGGCCACCACAAAAATGTTTAATAAATGAGACAAAAAAAAGTTTCTTAACAATAAAAAATGTGTTTTCTTTTTTTTTATTTTCTTTTTTAAACTTTTTATTAATCTTTTCTACTGTGTTTAAAAAAGGAGTATAAAGAAAGTTAAAATCGTTCTACAATAAAATACAGGGTGGGTCGAAAAAATATTTTTATAATAACAGGCCGTTACACTGAATTCTTTAAATACATCTTTTTTTCTTTTAATTGATTTTGAACTGTATTTAAGGAAAAAATGAAAAAAAGCTACCTGTACATGAAATGAGGTAAAAAAAATACATCTGAAAAATGATAGTTGTTTTTAAATAAGTGTATTTCGAGGTGAGGTAAGTATAGTATAACAAAAAATGCCTTTTTTTTTTATAATTCTATCTTTTAGTAGATGTTATTCATTTTTAACAATTGCAAATTGCTGCATAAAATTGTAAACCCATCTATGTTAAGACAGACCAAATAAATTTATGTTCCCAAGTTATTTTTATGAAAACAATATCGGGGACTTTTTATGCGTGGAACTTTTATAAGTATTTGTATAATGGTTATTTCAACTAAAATAGAAAACGAAATAAGTAGATGCCTCATTCTTATATTTTTCCTATTGTTATTTATTACTGTTAATTATTTGCTAATAATAGTCATAAACACTTATTTTTTCTGTGTACATAACATTTTTATTCACCCAAGATATATAGTAAGTTTCAACAAAATATGTGATACACTCGAGATTTACAAATAAAAATGTGATTTTCAAAATAAAATTTAACGCCCTGTAGCAACCGCACGCGAAATTGAAAAATGGTTTAATAGAACCGGCAATATTTTGTTACAGGACATCCATATTCATTAACTTGTATGTTTAGAATATATTTTCGAGGCAATAATAATTATACGAGAAAGAAAAAATAAAAAACCAAAATAAAAGAATTTTCTATGGGATTTTCTTTGTGTTTGTTTCATTTTGATTTCGCAATATCTTAGTAGGACTCAAAATTACCTAGTTGAAAAAGTACAGATTCCAAAATTCTAAATTTTTTTCTCTTTAATTCTTATAAATATAATTATGGTTTTATACTGTGTATTGTGTATTACTTGAACAAAAGTGTATTATTATTATTATCGTTATTCTAGGCTGACGTAGATGGAGAGCGATTGATCCAAGACGTGATAATGGACGTCAGCAGGCCTATAGCGTTCGACAGCATAATGAGGGTACGTACGTCGACCGGCATTCGACCTACGGACTTCTACGGACACTTTTACATGTCCAACACCACCGACATGGAACTCGCAGCCATAGGTAACCGCCTCGTCGTCGCAGGAGTAAAAAAAGTCAATTTTTGATTTTTTTTTTAATCCTATAGATTGCGACAAGGCCGTATCGGTCGAGATCAAACACGATGACAAACTTTCCGAAGACGAGGGCGTCTATATCCAGGCCGCTCTCCTCTACACGTCCTGCTCCGGCCAACGTCGCCTGAGAATCATGAACCTCTCGCTGAAAGTTTGCTCGCAGATGGCCGATTTGTATCGCAGCTGCGACTTGGACACCATTATCAACTACATCTCAAAGCAGTGTACTTACAAATTGCTGGAAAACAGCCCCAAGACGGTCAAAGACGCCATAGTGAATAGGGCCGCTCAGATCTTAGCCACATACAGGTGAGGCAATGAAAACAATTGGTATAATCTGGACAAAACAAATTTTTAATTGCGGCAGTCCAAAGTTGTCATTTTCTTGTGTACAAAGTTAATCTTATGACATCGACATTGGTACTAATAACAAAACAATTCAAGAAATTGTTGCAGAAATTTCTTAAAACCACAAAAAAAATCCATGAGATAGGAGATATTACAAGTGTCTAAATGTGTCAAAAAAAGAGGCTAATATAATTGTAAGCAACAATTCTTAAATCTAAAAAAGTGGGCGTAACCGGGCCACCACGCAATCACAAGCGGAGTGAGGTGCTCTATCCGGGGGCGAGACAGAACATTATCGAAAGAGAAGTGACTAAAAGGAATATACCCAGGTTTATAGGTCAAATCAAAACATGCTTTATTATCAAAAATGGTTGCCAACAATAAATGTTCACAAAGATTTAGTTAATCTAAACGGGTAGTGTCGGGAAAATAACTAAAAATATTATATAGCAATACTCAATGTAAAAGCCCACAAGTGTCTAAATGTGTCAAAAAAAGAGGCTAATATAATAGTAAGCAACAATTCTTAAATCTAATAAAGTGGGCGTAACCGGGCCACCACGCAATCACAAGCGGAGTGAGGTGCTCTATCCGGGGGCGAGACAGAACATTATCGAAAGAGAAGTGACTAAAAGGAATATACCCAGGTTTATAGGTCAAATCAAAACATGCTTTATTATCAAAAATGGTTGCCAACAATAAATGTTCACAAAGATTTAGTTAATCTAAACGGGTAGTGTCGGGAAAATAACTAAAAATATTATATAGCAATACTCAATGTAAAAGCCCACAAGTGTCTAAATGTGTCAAAAAAAGAGGCTAATATAATAGTAAGCAACAATTCTTAAATCTAATAAAGTGGGCGTAACCGGGCCACCACGCAATCACAAGCGGAGTGAGGTGCTCTATCCGGGGCGAGACAGAACATTATCGAAAGAGAAGTGACTAAAAGGAATATACCCAGGTTTATAGGTCAAATCAAAACATGCTTTATTATCAAAAATGGTTGCCAACAATAAATTTTCACATGTGGTATCGACCGTGATGGAACATATTGGAACTGGTGGTGCTGGGGGGGTTGGGAGGTATTTTAAAAAATTTAAACAAGGGTCTAAGGAAAAGCCATTTCTCCAAACTCGTTTATACAGTCGAAGAATTTCTTGAACCAACAGATCCATAACGTCGGGTGCTATAAATCCTTATTCTTCATAATTTTCAAAAATGTACATGGTATTCTCAAAAAACTGAAAATTGGGGTCCTTAAAATGATAATTGACGATAATCAGAAAGAAGGCAGTGCTTCAGTTGTCAGTTTCTTTTACATGGTCACATAGCCCGTATGGATAGCTAAAACTTTTACATTTAATGTTTTCAGCTCTTGTACAGGGTCTTCAATTTATTCCGTGATATTTTTCTTGCCTTAAACTTTTGAAGCTATCGATTTCAAATTTAGCACAGAGGTTGAAATTCACACTTGCATTTAAACTGTTGAAACTGCCACCGAATATCGCGAAATATTTTTTCCAAATTTTTAAAAACTGTTTTTGGCCTATTTTGCCTAGCAAAAAAAAAATTCCTGAAAACTATTAACCTGATCGGCAAAATTTATGAACCAAAAGAAGCCGGAGATGCGGTACTATAACCTTTAATTCAGGAACTTTTTCATGATATACAGGGTTGTTCAATTATAGACAAAAATCTAAAAGACCCTGAAAATCGTTTTTTTCGCTATTAAAATATTAGCCGTAAATCAAAATTCGTGAAAAACATCCAGAGCTACAATTTTTTTTTACAGTTTTCGCTGCTTGAAATATGAAAATAGCTTTGAAAATATGAAAATAGCTATTTCTATATACTGCATACTTTCAGAAGAGTATTATTTTCTCGAAAATCATTTACTCTATTGAAAAAATGTATGGACCAAGAAACGGGGGAGATTCAGGGCAATAAACTTCGAATATTTTTCAAATTTTATACAGAGTGTAAAAATTTTGCATTTTTGTGGGTAAATTATTAGCTGTAAATGAAAAACGTAAAAAGATAAGATAATTTGGTTCAAAGCAATATCGTAAACTGTGCCGAGAGCTACAATTTTCTGATTTATAATTGCGCGAGATGTTTCAATAAAAATATTATTGTAAATCGCTATTACTAGCATAAACTTTCATATTTACCAAAGTTTGCCATGATTTTGAATTTCGGCAGTCATGAAAGGCACTTAATGCAGGTCGTGTGCATAATAAAATAACAAAGTTCCCATAGTGGTCCGCAGGAGCACGGTAGACAAACAATGGTAACTTGGTGATTTCTCCAGACCATGTAGTGAAAATTGGTTAGGCTGATAGGTCGGTATTGGGTATATGGCCTCTCGACTTTACTTCTTCACTTTGAGAGGTGGAGTGACTTGGAAAGATGGTAGTGGGAGAAAATGGTTTTCATTCCGCAGGAAGCATTGCGCTTCGCCGAGCAGCGCCGGACAGCTCATCCTTCCGGAGTGCATGAAGCTGCTTCCTCTCTACGTAAACTGTCTCCTCAAAAGCGACGCATTATCCGGCGGTTCCGACATGACAATCGACGATCGCTCGTTTATGATGCAATGCGTCATGATGATGGACGTTCCGACGTCGGTCAACTACTTCTATCCTAGATTGGTACCGTTGCATGACATTGAGGGGTCTTCGGAAAGGACTGAGATCCCCGCCCCGATCAGGTGCACGGCGGAGAAGATGTCCGAACAGGGAGTTTATATATTAGGTGAGCATATCGAGTCGGGTGGGATCGAGCGCACATTTGTTTGAAATTGTCTTTTAATTTATTTATTTCTTAAACCAATAACTTTAAAAGTAACTTAAAATCCATCAGAGAGATTTCCTCCATATCAGTCAATAAATTTCTTAATAATGAGTGATATGTACTGGGCTATTCATTATATTTTGACACCCACCTCTAAGGTTAATTTCGAAAGATAGAAAAAAAAGTGTAAATACGAAAGTTTGAAGATTTTTGATCTATTGTCTTATACAAATGTCACAAAAGCAAACGGCGATCGCAAGCTGTCAAAATGACTAGATTTTTTTTTCCTGATTTCAAAAACATGTAATTTATTGACATTTCATTTAGCAGTTTTTGAGATATTTCAATTTAAAAATAATTATCATTCGATTTCTGGAGTATAAAGGCATATTGTTTAAAAATCATCAAGTCTGCATTGATATAATAATAATAATATAATCTTTATTTAGCATTATGCTACATAAAAAATACAAAATATAAATTCTAGATATAAAATATAACATTCCAGATAAACTGAAACCAAAAGCTAAGCACAAAGGAATATATCGGGTTTTTTGTTGCTAAATTTCTTAAACAGTGTTAGTACATGTTACATTAAAAAGTTTCAGAATGTCTCGCGGAATCCAAAAATGTAATAATATACAAGGTGTTTCATTTAAAAAACGAAAGTCGATATACGTTACGAGTATATCTGGCAACACAGCACGGTCAAAAATATTTTACATAGGTATCTTATATTTGGTTTTTACCGTAAATCATTCTCTCAAGATCTAACAGAACACTGACAGAGTTCTTTAAAATTTGAAATTGGAATTTATTTATCATTGCAACTTACTGCTACGTATATTATGCCGGAAAACTTACGTCTTTAAATTAAAAGCAGGTAACAATTGAATATTTTGAAGTGTTAGTCTAAAAGCCCGCAGTAGTTAGTTATTTCACAGACTATTGCTTGCTGATTGCCTAGCTTTGGTACGTCAGGGTTTAAGGTGTGCTTGATCCAATAATTATTTGCTTCTTTTCAAGTAAAATAGAAAATTCGAACATGTTAGAAAAAGCTGCAGACTTGGCAACGCCGCGCATATTAAACTTCTAAAGATTTGACGCAATGGACCTTCTACATGTCTGCAAACGTCCTCTCTTAAATGAAAAAAAATATTTATAAACGACTGTTTGTTTTTGTAAATTATAATTTTTCTTATAATTATTATCAATTTTTTTTTACGACGAAATTTTGTAGTTTTTTCACCAAAAAATAAAACTGGATGCTTACTGAGTAATAATTGTATATAAAGTTAGCTGAATTCGGGACAATGTTAACAGAATTTCTCTACTCGGACGTTGTGGTCTACATTATATTTAATTTTTAATATTGTTTTAAAAATGGCGGAATCTGTGGCCAAGAAGCTCCTATGCTGTGCTATGATAATATTTTTTAAGGCTTCCTTCCGTTCGGTTAATATTATCTGGTAACCTTTTGAAAACTTTGAGCGGTAACTTTTTTTGCAGAAAACGGCATCCACATGTTCCTGTGGGTGGGGCTCGATGCAAACCCCGAATTCGTACGGGACATATTCGGGACACAGTCGGCCCATCAGGTCGACATCGACAGGGTGAAGTTGCCCGATTTGGATAACCCTCGGAGCGTAGCCGTTCGCAATATCATCGAACTGATCCGCGTGCAGAGGCACAGGTGTATGCGGGTGAGTAATTTATTTATTTCACTTTCGTCCGAATCTCCAATTTCTAACGAAGTAACAAATTAAAAGAGTTAAAAATTGATATTGAAGCTATATTTTCGTGTAGACTGTAGTTTTCAAATTTTTTTAAAAAATAAATATAAGCAAAGCAGAATAGTGTAAAGGAACTGCAAGTACATCAACTCGTTATTTTAAATGTACAGATTATTTTTTTAAGTTCCCGCGTTTCCAGTATTTTTATTGTACATTTGCAATATTTTTAAATTCCTGCGTTACTAGTACATAGATTTTTTTTTTAACAATAGAGGATTTTTTTTGTAAGCATTGAAAGGTAGTATAAAGTAGGTGCTTCAAATACATCGACTCCTTCTTTTGAGGTTTTTGTTTTAAATTTCCATGATTATTTTTTCTCATTCGCGAAGTTTCTATTATCATCGTATCTTGAAAATATATGAAGTACCAACACATCAACTTCTCAAAAGATTTTTATTATTTTTTTTTAAGATAACCCTAGTTTTTTCAAATAGGAATGGGAATACAAACTTCTTAAAAGCGGTACTTTTTTTGCAACATTCTGACACCAAAATTTAAAAAATCTGTTAAAAAAAAATAAGCTCACAGGAAGGAAAAAACCAGATAAGTAAATATTTTCTTCTAAAACCAAAGTATGGCGTCATTATTAATGGTCAAGTCGGTAAGATGGAAAATGCAGAAGGAACTCTCGGCAAGCAAATGAAGCGGAAAGAAAAAAACAGATTAGTATTAAAAAAAAAATTAAGGGAGATTTTCTTTTTGTTGAAAGTGTTTTATTCTGGTATTAAGTTGATATGCTTTTGGAACACTGGAATACAGACAAAGACTAACGTAAGTATTGTGTGTAAACCTACATACGTTTTTATAAAAGTGTATTTAGTTGTCCGCATTTTTCCTTCCTGTGATTTTGAAATTTTTTTTGTCAAAAAGATTGCAAAAGAAGTACCGGTTTTAAAAAGTATTTGTTCCCGCTAGGGTGCTATTTGAAAAAACTGGGTTATCCTAAAAAATAAATAGTTGGCTTCCTAGACACAGTTTTCAAAATTAAATAGAAATTAAAACAAAAGAAAAAAACCGTTCTATCCTACGCAGAATGATTTCCTGAATCCAAAAAAAAAAAAAAAATTCGAAAGTTATATACATATTAATCCTTCCAAATTTGAAATTGCTATCTCAAGCCGTTTAAAAGTTATAGAGTGTTCTCACTTTCCAGTATATATGTAAGCAATGAAAGATAGTTGAAGTTCCATTATTATTTTTTTCCCAGTTTCGGCGTTTCTAGTATGATGTATATCTTCTTATATACTATAGTTTCTTCGAAATATTTGAGGATTTTTTTTATACAAATAGTATAAAGGAGATACAAATACATCAACTTCTCAATAGTTTGTTATTTTAAATATGCAGTATTATTATTTTTTATTTCCTGCGTTTCTAGTATGAATGTGCATATTTTCATGTCGACTATACTTTCTTTGAAATAATTGGGGATTAAAAATAAATAAATATGAGCAATAAAAGATAGTATAAAAGAGCTGCGAGTTACATCAACACCTTCTCTAGAGATTTTTTCATTTTGAAATTTCCACGATTATTTTTTCTCAGTTGCGGTGTTCCTTGCATATTTTCTTGTATACTATAGTTTCTTCAAAATATTTTAGGATTTCTTTTTTACTTACAAATGTAAGCCATGAAGTATAGTATGCAGTGTTATTTTTTTTAGTTCCTGCGTTTCTAGTTTGAATGATGCATATTTTCTTGTGAAATATTTTAAGATTTTTTTTACAAATGTCAGCGATGAAATAAATACATTAACTCCTCCAGAGATTTTTATTTTAAATATGCGGTATTATTTTTTTAGTTCCTGCGTTTCTAGTATGAAAAGTTTCCTGCATTTCTAGTGCATAGATTATAGTTTTTTTTTTTTTTTTGAATAATTGAATCAACACATCAACTTCTCAAGAGATATTTATTTTAAATATGCAATGTTAGTTTTTTTTCTAATTCCTGCGTTTCTAGTATAAATGTGCATACTTTCATGTGCTACAGTTTCTATGGAATAATTGAGGATTTTTTTTATAAATGTACGCAATGCAAGATAGTATAAAGTAGGAGCTTCCACTACATTAACTCCCTCTTGGGAAATTTTAATTTTAAATATCCATAGTTATTTGTTCTCAGTTGTGAAGTCTTTAGTATCAATAAGCATATTTTCTTGTGTACTATAGTTTCTTTGAAGTATTTAAAGTCTTTTTTACTTATTAGCAACAAATACAACAACTTTTTATTTTAAATACGCAATTTTTTTTTCAACTTCCTGCGTTTCTAGTATGAATGTGCATATTTTCACACGGATTATAGTTTCTTTGGAATAATTGAGGATTTTTTTAAAGATGTACGCAATGAAAGATAGTATAGAATAGGAGCTTCGGGTACATTAACTCCTTGTCCGTAATTATTTTTTCTCAGTTATGGCGTTTCTAGTATCAATGAGCAGGTTTTCTTGTAGGCTATAGTTGTTTTGTGATATTTCAGATTTTTTTTTACAAACGTAAGCAATGAAAGATATAAGTTACGAATACATCATTAATGTTCATATTTTCGCACAGATTTTTATAAATATAGGCAATAAAAAATAGTTTGGTTATTTTTTCCCAGTTTCGGTGTTTCTGGTATGAATGTGTATGTTTTCATATAGGCCATAGTTCCTTTGAAAAATATGTAACCTATGAAAGATAATATAAATGAGTTGCGAGTACATCAACTCCTTTAAAGCTTTTTATTTTTACTTGCATTGTTAGCTTTTTCTTAGTCGCCCATTCGGTCTAACGAGAACGCCGTTTTTTTTTTTTTTGAAAAAAATTCCAGTTAACGATCGTCAAACAAAAGGAAAAATTGGAGCCGATCTTCAGACATTTCCTGGTGGAGGATCGAGGCACTGACGGCTCCGCCAGCTATGTCGACTTTTTGTGTCACATGCATAGGGAAATTAGAAGTTTACTGAGCTAGCATTACGGGGAGGCCAGAACGAAGAGACCTATAGGTAAAGCAGGCCGCTGGTTCGCTTCCATCGATCCTAACAGTACATATTTTCGAGAATGCAAAAGACGGTTCGAGTACGAGGAAAACCTGTAAGAGAGATTATGCGGTGTGGAAATTTGGAACCCCCAATCTTAGCGAATTTAATAGTAGGGATGGTTATAAATTGAAATAACTAAAATATATGTTCGATTAGTTTCTGTTTGTAAAAGTTTAATTAAATATTCGGGAGAACTTGTTTTCTTAAGTTCAGTTTTGTTTCAAAGATATTAAAAAAAAATAATTGATTCCCTACTAGCATTTTCTTCGTCAAACACGATTTTCATCACTTGTTGTTGCTCTTTGTCTGTGTTCGCCTCTGTTTTTCTTTAAATTTGTTAATATTCGCCCTCTACGTTCACTTCAACGTTTCAACTGTCTTGAGAGGACCTACCCAATATATCTGCTTAATTTATTCGTTGAAGAAGTTTTATCAAGCGGAAAAGAAGAAATAATCTGATTCTCATCGTTTTGATTAAATTCGTTCATCTGTCTTTTTTTTTTTTCGTTGTATAATCGGTATCAAATAGGCAATATATTTTTTTTAAAGAAATCGCCGTATTTCCCCATAATTAATGAATTATAATTGACGGTGGACCTGCGTAGCGGAAGGTTCGTTATCGGAGTGGGAAACGTGGCTATTTTTCGAAGTTAGTTTTAATAATTATTTTGTATTTATATATTTTATGGTTAACCATTTTGCGAACGGTATGTAATATGTAAAATAAAATGCTATTAATCGATAATTGTAATTATTTACCTACAAAACCGTCCAAACTACCCACCAATCAGAGAAAAAAAAATTTTTTCGCCGGAAAATTATAATTTTTTAGTTGTTATTTCTGATTAAAGACGACGTTAATGTCGGAACCTTTTTTGAAATCAACGAAAAAGGTCCTTTCTTTTTATGAAATAATACACAAAGCTGCCAATTAAAAAACATAACTTTGATGTATTGATTTTTGGAACACCTCGTATATAAGTAAGGGTCACAGTTATTGAAATTGTGAGTTGGCTCAAACATTGTTCTGCATTTTTCATCGCCTGTTGTCAAATATTCAGTTATCATTTCAAAGATTGTTATTTTGAGAATTGACAAATTTTATTTTTTGTGTTGAGAATATCGGAATTTTATTTTCCGCTTCCGAATTTTTGTGTTAACTTTAGAATTCAAAAAAACTTAAATATTTTTTGAAACCAACGTGAAAGGGTTTTTCTTTTTATGAAATTATACACAAAGCTTCCAATTAAAAAACATAACTTGATACAGTTTTTTGGTACACCTCGTACGTAAATAAGGGTTATACAGACCAAAATTGTTCACAAAAAATTGACAAATTTTATTTTTTGTGTTGAGAATTTCGGATTTTTCCGCTTCCTAATGTTTGTGTTAAATTTAATAAATTGATTTTCGTTTTATCTGTGACACAATTTTCGTTGATGAACTGCTATGCTTTTTAACCTACTTTCATTGGTGTCATACGGTTTTTGGGACAATTTTAAAGCGGTGTATCTAAAAAAACACATGGTTTTGGCATATAATATTGCTATTGCTATTGTAGCAATAGCTAAATAAAACACTACCACTAAAAGTGGGGCCGTTTTTTTATCTCTTAGATTTTCGCTATGGCAAAAGTCTCTCGCAAAGACCATTTTTAAACATTCCATTTCATTTTTGACCGGTTGAGGCCGTAAATTCAAAAGCGAAATACTAAAACCAAGAGCATATGAATTTTATGACTGCGTATTTTCATTCGGTTTTCATGCAACACGAACTTTCTTGGTTCAATCCAATAGAATATAGCAGCTTGCCAAGAATGAGCAGGTGGATAAAATTTCGCTTTCCACGGGTTTTAAGGTTTACGTTTTTCTTCTTGTGACCACAGCAAGGCAAGACAATTCGGTCAGCTGTTTAAACTTTAATGCAAAATAAGATTAACGATTCGTGTTGGTCACCGACCAACACATTTATTAACATTCGTCGTCAATTTCCACCGCAGACTTCCGTGCTCATCCGTGTGTGGGGAAAACAGCGAAAATCCATATCATCAAAAAGACGTTATTGTTCACTAAGATCCAACACAATAACAATTTGACCGAAAACAAGCCTTAAACATCGAAAAATACGGATTCTGTATGCAGGGCAAAAGGTTCGACACATCGCGTGCAATGCCACCCAGAGAACCAGTTTTACGATTTTTAGAGTTGCGTCTATAAATCTATTAGCCAAATTTACTAGGATCATCGTGAAGTTTTTCATTTTTATTCAAATTTGAGCCATGTTACTAAAATTATTCGATCATTAATACTGGTTTATAAAAGATGAAGAGTTAGTCTGTATTAGTTCAGAGTAGCGGTTGATTGTGCGTGAATTATTCTATCAACTGGCAACCATTAATTTTTCTCCGAGTCACAGTGCATAAGGGTTAGCACACAGAGTTAGTTTTGGTTAAATTTGTTCGTTCCCTTCTAACCTTAAATATCATTCTATACGACGAACATTTATTTTTGTCTATGCTAGTAACTTTTAAAACTGTGGTTGTGATTCAACTACGTTGAGCGGGAGCTTAAAAATATTTCGCGGTTAACTTTTATTTTAGAATGAAGCCGAAAATGAGCAGCGGATACTTAACGCCTCAAGCGAGCAAGACGAAAAGTTCAGCAAAAACTAGCGAAGAGTTCACGATCGACGATAATATGTTTCAAGCACTGATGAAATGCCCCATAAAAAAAAAGATGATAATCGACCTTCTGACCGCAAACAAAGAGGCGATAGAAGAGTGTCGACGCAGTGCCGCAGGCGCCCTCGAGACACGGAAAAGATATGAGAGTCCTACAGCTTTGCAGCGGCGCAGGGCGCTGCTGGAAATGAACGGTGGCGAGACTAGTTCAAGACCAATGGTGGTGAGGTCGAACGCGCCGGTACCCTTTGAAAAAGTGTTTGAAGGTGTGGTTGCTTTTGTGGAGATCAACAGTAAGAATCAGGATCGGTCGGCTGGAGCAAAAGTCATTTTAAGATCTATGGGGGCCGTCGTTGAAGACACATTCACCAAACATGTCACTCACGTTATTTTTAAGGTGGTAAATGGTATTATCTAGAAGTGTTGGTTACATTGATTGGATTGTGGTTGTAGGATGGTTCTTATACTACTTTCCAGAAGGCCATATCACGGGGAGTTCATCTGGTGTCAGTGCTGTGGCTAGAGTTCAGCAGGAAGGTGTGCCAGAAACAACCGGAAAAGGAATACCCCGCCATTCGAGTGGGGCATATGGACAACAACATTTCAGTGATCTGTTCTGTGAGTAGTATTAGTAGGATTAACATTCTGACCTATATTGTTATTCGCAATACAAATCACAATATTGGTAATTATTTTAAGTCCCTAACGATCATAACTGTAAAACAGTAAAAATTTCTCAGCAGTCTCCAAAAAATTCATAATCATTCTATAAAAAACATGTTATGCAAAGAACTCCGTTAAAGTTTTTTAAAATAGCTTTTTAATTACTTACATATTCTTGTTGGGGTTTTTCTCCATTGTGAAACCAAAATGTATTTATTTATTTATCTATAGATGGGAAACTATAACTGCAATTTATCTGAACTTTATATTACCTTTAAGGTAATGACCTGTCATTGCAAATTCACATTTAATCACTCTCTCTTATGAAATGAAATATAGTGTTAGGCGCTTCCTTTGCGTATTGCAGCAAATGCAAGAGGAATACGAGGCGATAATTAGAGAGGAGTATCGGAAAAGTATGAGGAACAACACCCCGTTGCCTTCTACCCAATCGTTCATCGAACGAAGACGCGCGATACTGTCTGGCTCTCGCGGATCCTCGTCCACTCAGGACACTGAAGACGAGGAAGTGACTGATATTAACTTCCGCGAGAACGTCTTAAGACCAAGCTATACCTCCGCCATGGAATTTACATGTGTTGAAAATGACGACAGGTTTCCTAAGTCGCACTCGAAATCGCCTGTGGTTGGCCAAGAGAGGAGAAAAATTTTGAAGTCCTCAGCGGAGCAGGCTAGCGAATCTAGCATTATGACATCTGACCGGTCTACCAATATTTCCGAGCCTTCACACAAAGTAAGAATTTGTTAGTCTACGGAGACTACATTCAAAAAATCAATTCATTAATAGCTTTGATGACTAACCAATATTTTCTATGAAATAATTGGAAAAATTTGATTTTTTTTAATTACTTCTAATAGCCACCACTGCATAAGGTCATTTGGCCAGCTTACAACAACAGGTAACTATAGTCCAAAATTCCTAGAGGATCTGGAAAGCTCCATCATCCTCTAGGTGTGTTAACATATACAATATAACGACAGATTCATTTAACGGCTTCGACAATTATCTCATACGGGATATCCGATCCCATCTGGCCTGGTTACCAGCGTGAATATACGAAATCCGGAAAACTAACCAAAACTATTGGCATTACGCCTCATTTATTTGTAGGTTATTTACTCAGTGGTTGGATCATAAGTTGCATCGTTTTGTTTGTTATACATTGTGTTAAAGATATTTTGTGGTATGGACAACATTGATCGAGGTATGTAATAAATCTACAGAGTTACTAGATAATCTAGTGACCCAGCTACTGTGCAAATTAATGATATCAGGTTCTTCGTTTTGGTAAATCTTCAGGAGAAAAATTCGATACCGATTCATCTAGACGTCGTAAAAGTATTAAAACAGTCCGATTTTCACTATGACAATGAAGATTTTGAAACGGAGGCTCCAGATTCGGATGAAGATTACCAAGATGTCAGTTACGTAAAGCGATATAAACATAAATATTTTCATGCTAAGTGATTGTTGATAACTTTGTTTTTTTTTTTGAAATTCTTACGTCCCACCGCATACGCAGTACTCGTTGGAATTAATTAAAGACGTTATTGGGGATTTTATTATAAAAATATCATTAAATATAATTTCGAGAAGAAAATAATCGTTTTTTCTTTTAGCAAAGTCGAAATTTGATTTTGTGGGAGCAAAAGCCTATTAAGAAATGTTAGGTACAGCATTAACAATGCGGTCAAAAGGTTCTTGCCTTTTTTTTATTTTGATACGCTAGAAAATGTTATTTTTTGTAAGAAAAAAAAAATCGATGCGCTTAAAAGAAACGTTTCTCTTCAACCATGTGAAAATTTTGAAATTTCATTAAGTATTGAGTACGTTCTATTGAATCAAAAGAGTACAATTTTTAGTGGATATTAATTTTATTTAATTAATAGGCTATACCAGGTGGTCCCAGTTATAATAAAGAAACTTTAATAGCGTCTTAGGCAGATGAAGATAAGTAAAAAAAATGTATAAACTTATATTTTAAAATGTTGCCTTTCCGAGAAACGGAGTATTGAAATATTGCAAAAAAAATGTTTTTTTTTTTAATTAAAAAATACTCTATACTAGATATTGCTTTCAAACTTGGCTGATATTTTTATTATTATTATTAGATGAATAAAATTAGTTATTTTTTCCTAATTATTTCAGCAATTTAATTTGCGAACAACAAATTGTTTTTCCTCGAAAACGGTTTATTTTAGCAAAAAAAAAAAGAATTGACCATATTCGTTTAGGGGGCGGAGCTAGAGGAGGAGCTTGAACATTGTCTCGGATGAAGATTATTTGGTTTCTCAGGTCAGGACTTAGGTCTCCTTTGGCTCTGTCTCCTCAAATAATATACTTTGTTTTTTCCCGAAATTACAGCAAATGTGGCAATTATGGAGATCTAATAGGATTCATGTTTCACAGTTTCACTTCGCAAAAGAAAGCGCCTAAAAAAGAAAATGTTGGGGAAAGATGGAGGTACCTTCAATGTATTTCTATATCATTTTTATCACACCCGGTATAAATCGAAAATGAACGTTTTATCATTATCAGCGACGTTTTCGCGACGAACCAACCTACAATGCAAAAAAAAAACATTCAAATCGAAAAAAATATTTTGAATAAAATAGGACTATGAGACCGCAGCAATTTTGAAGTATTGTCGTCCCCGTAGATTAGCAAAATCTCCGGTTCGAATCGGACGTCCCCGGAAAAAATCGCCTCCGAACCGGATTCATTCAGGATTTTGCATCCTGGAAAGCCGAACGAGACCGACTTCTCGTCCGAGCGAAAGAACTCCTCGATGTCGGAACTGAAGCTCTCCATCGCTAACTGCGTCGCGAGTCTTAAAACGCCTCACCATTCGTCCGACTCGGACGGCTCGGAAATACAGATCAGCACGCGACGTCGCAGCCGATTACGCAAGGCGACCTCACCCGAAGGGTGTAGGCGGACGAGGAGCACGACAAAGACCCCACCTCCTGGGTCCGATCCAGAGGTGCCGAACAGGGCGCGCACGTCGATTAGGCCTACCCGGAAGAAAGAGAAACCGGAAAAAGCGACACGAGCCCGGAAGAAGCTCGTGTATTCTGCTAAGGCAGCGAATTTTCCGGAGGAAACCGCACCGACAGCACCCGAAGGGAGTACACGGCCGAGGAGCACGAGGTCAAAGTCGCCGCGCACATCGATCAAACCCGCTCTGAAAAAAGCGGAGCCGAAAAAACCGCTTCCGGGCCGCAAAAAGCTTTACAATCCGCGCACGGACGTGGTGGAGTTGCCGCCCGTCGACGACGACGTCGAGCGCAAAACGCGGCTCGAGGCGAAGAGAAGGAGGGCGTCGGTGGCGACGGCGGATGTCGTCGTGCCCCTCGTCGAGGCGAGCCGTCGCGAAAAGTCGCCGGACCTGCTGGAGCTGCTGACGGACGTGGTGCAGGAGAAGAAGCCGCGACGAAGGAAGCGCCGCGGGGCGGAGCCGCAGGCGGTCGCGATGAATAGTTCGGCCGACGAGCAGCGCGAACTCTGGGCGGAGATTGTCAGAGAGAGAAGAGAACTACGCAAAGCGGGCCAGGGAAACCCTAGGTATTTGACTAATTCTATTTTTTAAATAAAACATAATAATACGGGGTGTCCCAAACCAATGTAACGAAAAAAAAAGTTTTTTATTTAATTCCAGATTAAAACAAAATATTGTTATCGGATTTTTAAAAATATTTAAGTTTGTTTGTTTCAAAGAAACGAAATAAAACAATAACAGAGTTTGCTCTGCTTTTGGTAGAAAAAAATTTAAACCATTGCTTTGCAATAGGAGCGTTCATTTAAGGTTTTGATTTATGGTTAGTCTTAGTGTGAAAAGAGCATGAAAACGCATAGTGAACAAAATTTATGACCATACCTTTCACTATTGAAATGCCAAAAATAATAACAATGTCTTACATGAATGAAACTTAAGTATACTACGGCTCTATAAAAAAAAAAGAAAACAAATTTATATATTAACTTATAACGAAAGACATTTTTCTAGGTTCTTTTTTTGCCCACCCGGTAAGTTTTTTAAAAATTATTTTTATAAAATGGAGCAGGTGGGAGTAGTGTTACGCGTAACACCACAACATGTTACTTTAATACATAGTATCAACAGCATCCCTAAGTTATGCTAAAATTGTAACATATTGCTTAATAAATTACAATTATACTTTTTTGGGCCATTTCTTTAATATGATTCAAAAGAATGTAGAATTTTTTAGGGATAATTGGCTTTTAGAGTAATTTACTTAGCAAAAAAAATAGTCTCAAAACATACCATTTTCAATTTTGTCAAAAAAAAATACAATTCTCTTTTCACAAGGATAAAGAAAACATTCTCAAAATGTTACTGACAACAAACGTTCCAAAATTATTGTTGACGTTTCCATGGTAACAAGACGACCTAAATCGCTTGTTTTGTGAACGGGCACGGCCTACTTAATTAGTCTGTGATAAGGAAAACGTTCATTGTACGAAACGTATTATGGGTTCGTTTCAATAGTTTGGGCGCCACCGTAGCGACTTCCGGGGACCTGCGCAGAAGCACGATGGAGTTTCAGACGACGCGGCGGCGGAAATCGAAGGAGACGAAGCGGAAGCGGAAGCGGACGCCTAGCATCGTGTGCACTAAACTGCACCGGCCAGAGGTGGATGTGTTTACGCGGATCGTGAGGAAACTGGGCGGGTTCGTGGTAGAGGACGAAGTCACCGCCAGGACGACCCACGTGGTCGCAGGCGAGCCCAAAAGGACGATAAACATGTTGCGGGCCGTCGTCAGGGGCTTGTGGGTCCTAAAGTTCGAGTGGGTGAGTTTTCACTTTCGGGTCAAATTAATAAAGTACAATATGGTACAATATACACCGCAACTTCAGCCGGGGTCCCTTTCTACATAAAACTTAGGAAAAATGCAGAGTTAAATTTACAGGTTGATACAAAAGTAAAAACTGAAAGTAAAAGCCTCTGCTCCAATCTCACAAGCTAAGGAGAGAAACATATCTTGGCAAGCTATATTATGTTACATTATGCTTGCTGAAATATGATTCCCAAATCTTCCGTCAGTAGTGAAAAAGTCCAAGTGCTCGTTCTCATTGGCCGGCAGGGTCCCATATAGCTGTAAGATACTATAGTGGCCATAGTAGGGTAAAAATTGATATGCCGCAGGTGACTACGATATTTTCGTAAGGAAAGTGCGGGTCCTTTGGACATGCTTCACCCTCCAACTGTCAGAGTTGTTACATGGCTGTAATTTTTCGGGAAAATTGATTGATTTTTTTTTAACATAATTCGGAACGCCGTCATAAGTAATAACTATCGTCACAGAATATTCAGTGCCCTGTGCTGTTTTCACTTGTATAATTTTTTCTTTCAATACGGCAAATACAGGGTGTCCCGAAATTAGATGTTAATATTTTAACCACGTATTCTGTGACCCAAAATAAGGATAAAAGTTCATTAGGGTCAAAACGTCTTGGTTTTTTACATACAGGGTGTTAATTTTGAAGAGGTGACGGCGATAAAGCTTTACAAGCCGATTTACAAGCCAAAAAAAAATCGGAAATAGTTTACACGAAAAAGTGCATGTAGAAATTGCATCGTATCTACAGGGCTGCAAGAATAAAAGCGCCAACTTAATTACAGAATTATACTGACGCCACCGTGGGTGCTACTATTCTGTACTACTTTTCCAGACCTTAACTACTTGTTTGCCGTAAAAATGGCGTATCGACGATCTGTCAGTGGCCATGTTGATTGTTGCAACTAACCAAAACTGATAAATATAATAAGAGAGACGGGCGGACACGTGGTCGGCATCTACCCGACTCGACTCAATTGGTATGACGGTCGTAGAAGCCGAGATGATATACTTTGAGAAACACCATACCATTTTAGATGCAATGAAACGCGAAATATTTTCTGTACTGTATATCTTTTGTTCCGGCATATCTTTTCGACTGACTAGCGAGCGCGGCGCCCTCGCTTTCGCGTCTGCTCGATCGGTAAGATAAAGTAAATTTTATTAATGACGCTATACGAAGATCCTTTAAGCAAAATGTGCATTTTTTGACATCCTGTATACGACCTGAGCGTTGTATAAGACCTAACATTCTTTTTCGTAAAACTAATAATAAAAAAATATTTTATGTAGACTTATTTATTGGAAGGATCCAACAGTAGCCAACAATTAGTAGTAGCATTTTTTAAATAAAGACTTGCCAACATCTACCAAGTCTTCGTATAAACGGTGAAATTTTTGATGGTAGGTGTTAAAATCCCTCGAACACGGAAAATGGCTTCCGGAAGAAGACTACGAGGTGACCGATTTCGGTGCTGTGATCCAGGTACGTTTTTTGCTCGCTCATACTAATTTTCTCCGACAGTAACTTCACAAAGTAATTCATGAAGTTCTTGACGAAACGTACTTTCGACGACACATAGTTTTCGAACGGTTTTTATTCGTAATAATTAAAATGTTCTACAGAAAAATGAAAATTATACAAATTTAGAAAAGGAAATGCTGCTTTTGCTATTATCAGTGACGCTAATAAGTTTTTGCTACCTTGACTAAAAAAATAGAAATAATGGTGGTTTAAATTGACTTACAAAGATTTTGACTCTGGAACATTTTGAATATGTCAAAAGAAAGTTTTACTTCTTTACTTTAACTTTTAACTGCTCAAGTCCACCAAGTCGTATATTTTCTAAAGGCGTTGTTAAATGTTTGACAGTGATCCAATGTTGCATTGGCTTTCTACATTTTAATAGTGTAGAAATAAGCAAGTATGTACTAGTTTCTGTTATCCTGTTGTTGAATTGATAGAGCAGCAAAAAGAGAGGAAAGAGAATATAGGTATTTATACTATATTTCAAAGAAACTTCCACTGAGTACTACTGTAATACTATTTACAAATTTGATGAATCCAATTTACTGACGTTCCGCGAATCCTGTCGACTTCTTCAGAGCTTAACTGAAACTGTTGTACCTGCTTATGATTCTAAATACTGTAAACTCCTGGTATCTCAATCGGAATGTTGTCCTTGACGGATCGAAGGTTGCAGGAATAGGAGGTATTACGAAATACGTACATGGGAGACAGAGTAGTAACAATGGATTCAAATCAAAAATTTAACGTCTTCTAATATTGCGATTTGGTTATTTTAAACTTTCCGTGGATACACAACAGCGGAGTTATGGTTGTATAATTTCCTCAACCGGTTTCCTATTTTCTTTTAGTTCTATAGCGGTTACGAAGGGCTTCGTAAATACATTTTTGGCAACTTAAAAATGCTGAGTAAAAGCTATATATGGCTCTAAAAATTGGTCAGATTTTGAAGAACTTCATGAATTAAGCTATGAAGAAATCGTCTTGGTAAAACTAGTAGAAAAACCGTTCACGCGGTTCGTTACTTGCCGCAGAAGTCTCGTTTACAACGGCAAGCCTTCGGTCCTTCTTATACGATGGACGTCTTCGTCGACCTCCCACCGATTTACGTCATACCCGGCAGCAATCCCCGGTGTTCAGATTTAAGAGAACTGATAACCGCGTGCAAGGGCATCGCAGTGACAGAACGTAGGACTGCCAAAATCGTAGTGGGGGAATATATTGACGAAGACGAAGCGATATGCGTAAACGAAAAGTGGATCTTGGACAGTATATCATTCAACAAGAAAATGCCTTTCAAGGAGTACCTGTTGGGAAAGCGGAGAGGTAGAAGAAGCGTGACCGTTTGAAGGCATTTATATATTCGTTCTCTCAGTTTTAAAATGTTTTTTATTCTACATTTCTATTTTATATATATTGATATTTTTTGTAACTAATTAACTAAAAGGAAATTCAATAAAGATTTGGGCCATTGTTTCTGTAAATTATTTTCCGCAGTTGCAAAAAAAAAATTGAACGTGTTGAAACTTGTGAGAAAATTAACACGTTCTCTGCAGGGAAAAATTTGATGAACCCCCCCTAAAACCGAAAAGCCTTTTAGTGACACAAGATTCAGAAAGACTTTTTAAAATTATTTCTTTCTATTTTCAGATGTCAGCTTGACAGATTTCAATGACATTTTGGCATGACACAAGGGTTGCGTCATCGGCAAAAGTTGTGTCCTTGAAAAGCCGTTGACGCAACAAATACGTCACTGCCAATCACACAGAAACTATTTTTTTCTAAACTTCTGTTAGACATACATATATGCTGATATAAACTAAAATGTAAAAAGTGGTAGAATTAGAAAAACACTGGCTTAAAAACTAATACAAAAGTTTCCTAAGATTATTGGCATGAGTGAAATTTTTTGAAGCACTCTCCTAGGCAAAGTGCCGGTTTTCTGGACAGAAAAACACGGTGCCTTTTCGCAGTTTGTGGGTGTAACACACTGCATCTTTTTGTTATTTGCTTTCCTTTCAAGAAAGATATTCAGTGGTTATATTTGATGTAGCTGGGCTTGTTTGTTTATTTGTTTTGTTTGCTGCTGCTTTGAAAACAGTTATTTTATAAGAGTACGCCGAAAACTGTAATCGAGTTTTTCCTTGGAAGAATATTTATTAAATAATAGAAAACTATTTAATGTTGCAGTGTACCATCTTCTTGTACCATCGTATGTGTTTAATAATAAATTCATAAGGTCAGTGGTGTGATACATCTACTCTTAATCCAGGATTACCTGAGAATGGAATTTGTTTCAAGTTTATCCCGTCAGTCCAGCCAATATTCGTCAAGTTATTTGGCAATGAACCAGGAAACGGCGGCCGTTGAGGAATTTCCTGGTTCGACTCTGCACTTTTGTCACTTGAGGAAGCGTTAGCCAATGTTAGTAGTTCATCATCCGTTAAAGGTCTCTTTCTATCCCACTCAATAGGTCTTTTTTGGCGGCCGAAGGGTATGGGATATCACTGCCCATGACACTACTTCTTTGGCGAAATTCCCAAAACCGACAATGCAAAAACACGTGCTCAAACGCGCCAAAACTCCCAAAAAAAAAAAAGCAACAGCTTCACTCGAAAGCCGGCAAAGTACTGACTACCTAAAATTTTAGGTGCACTCGTCGCAACTGTCGCGTTATCGGCTTGTGGTAGTGGAAGGCCATGACGCAACATATTTTTAAAAAATGTAAAAATTGTAGGAGATGTCGGAAATGTCATTAGCCAGAAGGTTGTTGTGTTCGGAAGACTCTTCTTTTTCTAGTCTATGACAGGTCGGTTAAAAGTTTCGGTAGATCCTCACAGACACATTAACAACACTAATTTAAAATTCAAATCGAAAAGATAAATAATTCTTTAGCGAATCCAGATGCACGTGCCACCCATTATCATTAAAAAGTTAGCCAATATTTCATGCTTCAGAAATGTCATGAACGTTTCCTATTGGCCAAAACAGCTAGGATCATTCGTTCAACTGTGACACAATGCTAAAGATTTCGATCACAGAATACCAACCAAAATCCGCAAATGGAAATAAGTAAAAATTGTCACGAGGCCGCGGAAATTAACAAAGGTGTGGAGGTTTATTGAAATAAATATTTTTGCTGCTGCAGTTACCATCTGACAGGTGACATGTCTAGAAATAGTTGTGAGTAGGTATCTCACCCAAATCGCTATTAGATAAGAAGAGGTGCCGAATGGTGATGCAGTTATTATTGAAGCGAAGCGAAATCTCATTTTCAACCAATAAAGTCTAAATTAAAAGATCGTGCAAGATCTACAATAGTGATATAGGAATGAAATTTCATAATTGCAAAAGTACGAAAAGGTGCAGGTAGGTTTTATTGCTTGATTTTCGGTCGTCCTCACTGGTAATTTGAATAAATATACAAATATACAAATATAATTGTGAACTTTTCGAAATTCTGCGATTTGGCAAAAGAAAACTCCCTTCTGTGTACAAGCAATTTATTCTTACATGATACATCCAAACTTACATATAACGTTATGCGCCACCCCCATCTCCCCCATATCGATAACGGATAGCACTTGCTGAAACCTACAAACCACCACCCATACACGTACATAGCGACACGCTTCAACAAATAGTATGAATCGCCATCAATCTGTATTTGATTATGTGCACGACGGAAAAAATAAATTAAAAAAAAAACAACCTCTTGTTAACGATAATCGGGCGGTCGGAGCTGTTCGGTACATCTGAATCACAGCTCTTGCGTCCTGCTCTCCTGCACCAAGTACACCTGCGAACCGGGCACCGAGCTGGTGGTAACGAAAGTGCGGTGCTTGGCCCTGATTAGCGACAGGCTGCTTTCGGCTGTGTCGGCGCGGTCCTCAGCCGCCTCCAATTCCCTCTGGAAACGGCGAACGCGAGTGACGCTCTGCTGCGACACGCCCTCCTGCAACGAACCGGTCGCATCCAAACCCTCCGCATCTTTCTATAAAACTTTACCTGTTCCTGCAGCTGCCTCTTGAACAACACTATCTTCTGGTTGGACTTGTCGAGCGCTTCCTGGAGCAGGGCGATGTTCTTTTGGTCCTCCTCGCATTGGATCATCACCTCCTTGACGGTGCGCTCCTTCTTGCGCAGGATCTTTATGGTTTCCGCGTGGCGACGTTTCTCTGCAAGTCGATAATGCACTGATAAAAATACGCGATCTCGGACAAGATAATGATGCTTTTGTTATTTTGTTATTTTGTTCCACCTTTTTGATTAAGGAATGTGGTGTAATTGAAAATATTAGACCAGATTACATTATTGAGAAACTGAACGTAACTACATTAGTTTTTCTGTGGATTACGTTATTTACAAATGATAGATAACCTATAAGGCAAAGTGTCAGTGCATTTTTCAGATTTTAATTCATGTTTAAGATCGGAGTAAACTAGAATCAAAGTCTCTTTTCCACTTCAAATAATTCGATACCATCATAATTCAGATATATATTTTTTTGATTATACTGGACGCGTGTGCTTCACTATCGAGCACCTAAATTCAAAAACTACCAAGGTTTAGAAAGAAAATCTTTTTTCTACTCCCATCTGTAAAATACCTTATACCCTTAACCTCAAATCAATTTTTAATGATCTTGAGCCAAAGAAAGGCCAAAAGACCTTGCTTTAAATTCATGTAACTTTGGCTGGTAATTCCTTCAAAATCATTGGATATTGTGACAAAAGTATAAGTTAATGCGTCAATTTCATGTAAGTTTTCGGCCGAGAGTTTTTTTTGGTATTACATAATGTGAAATTTCTTCATATCAAGCAATCATCGTACCTTCATCTAGTTCGGCCTCCATGTCGCGCACGCGCGCCTCCAGTTTGCTGATGATGCGCTTGCCACCGACGATCGCGTTGGCCTCGACCTCCTCCAAACGCACGGACAAGTTCTTAACCTCGATCTCCAAGCTCTTCTTGATCGCCTCGATCTTCACCACGCGTTCCTGCTCTTCGTGGAGGATCTCGACTGTGTGTTTCAGTTCGGCCTAAGCAAAAACCACGCCCCATCGTGTCGACCGCTTACCGTTAGACGTACCAAGGACACTTACCTGGATACGCTGGTAGCGTTCGTCGGAAATCCTCAACTCTTTCGTGACCTCGTCGTAGTCGGCTACTATCGTGGACAGTTCCTGTTCGAGTTTACTCTTGGAGGAGGCCAGGTTGACGTTGATGGTGGTCAATTCGTTGATGCGGGTGCTAGCCTCTTCATACAGCTGTTCGGCGTGTTTCTTGCCGCGTAGCGCCTACAGATTGAGCCGCGTCACCTCTCGCTTCTTCGAATTCCCCCAACTCACCCCTTCGTAGTTGCCACGGATCTCTTCCGCTTCGGCGGTCAGGGCCTGGACTCTCCTCTGGGACACGCTGAGCTGATCGAGGGTGACCTGCAGCTGACGCTGGATTTCCTCGTAGTGCGCCTGGATCTCGGTCAGTTGCAGCGATTGCTTCTTGATGGTCTTCTGCAGGTCGATGTTGGTCTTGTTGGCAGTGTCCAGGGACATCTCCAGCTCGGTGATTTGAATCTGGAGCTTCTTCTTCACGCGCTGGACCTCGGTCTTCAGGCGGGTCTCCGCTTCGACGACACGCGCGTTCAGCTGCTCGATCTCGATGCTAGTCGCTTTGCTGAAAACACGACGCGCCCATTGCCAAATGATGCCAGATTTGAAGCGGAATTCATATAGAAGATCCATAGAAGATAAAGAAACATTACATAGCTAAGCGAGAAACACGAAATAAAATCAATCACCAAAAAAATGAGATGTGGGATAGAAAATGTCAGGAAAGAGTCGGATTATTAGACACGAAAAAAATATCCTTTCGGAATACACACACTACAAAGATCTATTGAGAGAAGGAAGAAGACAATACATTCAGGAGGAGATGCCAGTTAGCACTGAAGGAAAACAAGTACGAATATAAGAAGAAACAGTAAGAACAGCGGCTACCAAACTCAGAATTATTAAAAAGTGTCACTGCGAAACTAATGACAGCGTTAACACAGATCTTTGCCCGAATGGTCAGGATGAAGGAAGAATAAATTGTGAAGAGTTTTCTGCGCAACAAAGGGGCTTCGCCAGTGGTGATGTATATCAACAACGTATTTTAAAATTTATGTGAAAGAAGCCTTACTAAAATGGAAACAAAAACAAACAAAAACTAGCCAAAACTAACAGGTAGAACGGTACTTTTTATAAAACTTCTAAGCCGCGGTTAAGATTGATCGGTTGCTTATAGATTTCTATAGACTCTCGATTTTTCGTTGATAGAAGAATCTATAAGCAACCTAACAATCTTAACCGCGACTCAGGTCTCCTCTACCTGTCACCAATATGGGGGTCATCCGAGACGTTGTTTGCGCTCCTCATTTAGCTCCGTCCCCTCAAACAATATATAATCAGGTACAGAGTAAAATGCGACCCAGTTTCAGTGAAGCTCTGAAGAAGCCAACAGGATGATTGGCGAAACGTTAGCTAGTTCGAGTCAACAAAAACTGAAGCAGGAAGAATCCAAAAGTTTTACAAAAAGTATTACAGTAACGTGCGGAAGTTTCTTTGAAAAATTAAAAAAAGAGGTATTTAGCCTACAGTTTGCAGCGGTCACAGCAGGGGTTTAAGAAGATATAGAATATATGGCAAGCAAACTAAAAGAAACCTATGAAGATTGGAGACAATTAAAAAAATTAAGAAGAAATAGAAGCCTGTGAAAAGTCCAAAAACCTAGGGGTTACACTGGATAAAACGGGTTTAGATAGATCTAGATTTGGATTTAGACCGATCACTTAGAAGATCCGTAAGAGCAAGAGATGGACATATAAGACAAATAACAAATAATCTGGTACGGCCATGTGCAGCGTATGAACGACGACAGACTACCTAAACAAACAATGAATTGGATACCATACCACCGGAAAAAAAGAGGGCGACCAAAAAGAACATGGGGCGAGGGAGTTCGCAAAGCGATGAGCTCGAGAAACTTAGAGGATGGCCAATGGGAGGACCGAAGATAATATTGTTTGCTAGAGGCATCGCGATGACAGGATAAACAAAAACTTGTGGATTCTATTGTCGAGTGCTTCGGCTCCTGCCTTTAAAAGCCTGTAAATAAAGCAAGCTGCTCGACTGGCTACTGTACGTCTTAACCTATATATAATGTTACGTCATTAGTTCAATTAACATGGCACTTGTTTTATTTGGCACGGCGGTATGGTCTTAATGTCGGACTATTTATAGATATAAAAGATTTTTCGGATTACGCAAACTGGGTGTCGATCAAGTCCCGTTCTTGGTGGACTTTTTTCCTGCGGGTCTTATTTGTCTTTTATTTAATATTTCTTCTTGGTAGTGAGAATGGAAGAGTCGAGTACTTCCGGCAGTATTGACCTGAAATTCCTTTTTACCAAATGGTTGTAATTAAGCATCCCGGTTGTTTTACAACCAAACAAACGCCAGTCACCTTTGATCTATGAAATAATGGGTGGTCTTCCTATCGAAACCTCTGAGGTCGCGGCTGAGGTCCTCCAGAGGCTCCGCGAATGACCGCTCCAGCTTCGCTTGCATCCTCTCGTCCATAAGCTCGAAGTGTCTCCCGTGGGTGGTCCGGGATATGCACGCGACCTCCGACTTCCTCGAATCGAGTTCCACGGCTTCGGCGATGACCTTGCGGCTTCCTGCCAGCAGCTGCGCTTCGATCGACTTGGCGGACTTGCCCCGCAGGAATTTCTGCTGCGCCATCAGCTCCCGTTCGATCACCTTGTCGTGTTCGGGGTCGTACTCGATCTCGTCCTTCATCTGGCCCTGCAATTTTTTTATTTCCCGTACCAGGGCTTTCTTCTTCCTCTGCTCCGTTTTGATTTTGGTGGTTATCCTCGCTGCCGACGCCGTCTCGGCCAGCAGGAACGCGGAACTCGCGTGGGACCGACTCTTTCTCAGTGTACGTTGAGCGCTCGCCTCAGTTTTCCGCGATACGCGCGTCAACTCCTGCTCACTGTAACTGCGGGTCGCGGAGCTCGGATCGAGCTCAGCGCTCCAAGGGAGGTGGGGGAATCGGATTTTTGTCCCGGGCCGTTTTTCCTCTATGTAATCGACCATCGGCTGGTAAAAGTTCATGCCCGTGCCGTAATTGTATTCGTAGCACTGCGTTTTCGGTTGCCATTTGGATTTCGAGTCGGGTCTCGGCATCTTCCGGGTCTGGGTCGTTGTTTTTATCGATAAACTGACGTTTGAGCGGCGGATCGATCGGTTTTTATACGCCCCGGGGTATTTATTTATAGGCCGATACATCGGCGTTTTTTGGCTGCCGAGCTGACAAGTTTTTCCGACGAAGCGGCCGATCTTTCACGCCTTTTTCCGGCTGCGCCATTGAAATTGTAATTTACGAAGTCACCATATGTTTTCCTAAATATTTTCTTCCTAATTCCCCGTGAGTTTCCAGTATTTCCTTATATATCTCCATATTTTCTTCGTAATTCTCCATGAGTTTGCAGTTTTTCCTTACATATCTCCATATTTTCTTCGTAACTCCCTATGAGTTTGCAGTTTTTCCCTATATATCTCCATATTTTCTCCGTAATTCCACATGACTTTACAGTTTTTCCCTATATTTCTCCATATTTTCTCCCTAATTCCCCGTGAGTTTTTATCGTATTTGATCAGAATTTTGGAGAATGACGAAGAAATGTCCCAAACCGACAAGTACAGATGAACTGGGAGTTACGTATGAGGTTTCAGGTTGGGTTGAGATGGAATGTCCATTGAAGGCTAAAAGAGGTACTCAAAAATGGCTTGCCCCGCGGACTTTCTTTTCTAGCAAATGAAAGTGTCGGATATGCGAAGAAAACATCAGTTGAAGCAAAAAAAAATAATCGCAGCACTCAGTGGAATATTTTGCACGAAGAGTGCTTATCCGATTACATAGTCATAAATATTACAGCATTATATTAATTAAGGTCAAGAACTTTAAAGCTCCATATTTATGAACTGATCATTTAATTTGCATTTTCTTTCGTCCCCACCATAGAAGTGATTAAAAACACAAAAAGACCAGAAGAATGTACTAGGCAATCCTGAATGAAGTGAACGACGTATATTGCAATACTTTGGCCATATCACACGAAGAGATAAAGACTATCTTGAAACATTAATTAAGGCTGAAGATCAACAACAGAATACTAAAATCAACAGTTGCACGTAACCATAATATGTAAGAAGAATAAAATTTAATGAATGAAGGGGACTGATATTTCTTGTCTTTGTTTGATATATTTTCTAATTTTTCGTTAATGAATGACAATTTGGGATATGTTTGATTAATTTTCTTTATTACCTTACAATGTATACTTGTTTTTTTTTGGGTGTTTCTTTTTCGAAACATTAAAAGGTAACTGTTGGGCAATCATACATACTACAATCAGACATACTACGATAGGGAATAATTTTAAAAAAAGGATAGCAGTAGACAGATCGCAGCGCTTAGCGTAATATTTTGCACGAAGAAAGCTTGTATATTGGCAAAGGCCAAAGAACTTTAAAACCCCATATTTATGAACTGATCATTTAATTTGCATTTTTTCTCCCACCACCATGTTATCAAAATCAAAAATAAATCATGGAAGGCCGACGATGAACTGATCATTTAATTTGCATTTTTTCTCCCCACCAAAGAAGTGATTAAAAACATCAAAAAGACTAGAAGAAAGTACTAAGCAATCCTGAATTATGTATACTGCAATACTTGTCATGTTATCAAAATCAAAAATATAAGGTTGTTCGGAAAGTCATTTCGTTTTTTTCCGTCAGAGGACTTAATTACGTTTTTTCGAAACCAACTTCACACTTAAGCCGCATAACCATTATATGTCTTGAGAGCTGATATTGTAAGGCTTGTGTGTGAAAAAGTTCTATTAATTCTACGCAGTAGTTTTTGGTTGGTGCCCTTTTAAATATGGAGAGCAATAAGCAGCATTTTCGTCATATTTTACTTTTTTACTTCAGAAAAGGTAAAAATGTTGTCCAAGCGAGAAAAAAATTGACGGATGCGTATGGAGAAGGCGCGTTAACAGTGCGCCAGTGCCAGAACTGGTTTGCAAAATTTCGATCCGGCAATTTTGATGTCGAAGATGCACCACGGTCTGGAAGGCCGGTCGAAGCTGACAAAGATGCGATAAAGGCATTAGTTGATGCAAATCGGCGAATAACCACACGAGAGATCGGTGAGAGATTAAATTTGTCGAATTCGACTGTTTATGGCCATTTGAAAGGCATGGGCTTAACCTCGAAGCTCGATGTGTGGGTGCCCCATGTCCTTACGGAGCGAAATTTGTGTCGTCGCGTTGACGTGTGTGATACGCTCCTCAAACGTCCAGAAAATGATCCATTTTTGAAGCGGATTATTACTGGGGAGGAAAAATGGGTTGTATACAACAATGTTAAACGCAAGAGGTCATGGAGCACAAAAGATGAACCGGCTCAAAGCGTGTCAAAAGCCAACATTCACCTCATGCATTCATGCTCTCCGTTTGGTGGGATGTCAAAGGAATCGTTTTTTTTGAGCTTTTGCCGGACAATACAACGATTAATTCAGAAGTCTATTGTCATCAACTGGACAAATTGAATGATTCACTTAAAGAGAAGAGGCCCGAATTAATCAACAGGAAGGGTGTAGTGTTCCACCAGGATAATGCGAGACCTCACACAAGTTTGGTCATTCGCCAAAAACTTTTACAGCTTGAATGGGACGTACTGCAACATCCACCATATTCTCCAGATCTGGCGCCTTCCGACTACTATTTGTTCCGGTCCCTGCAAAATTTTTTAGATGGCAAAACCTTTACCTCAAATGAAGATGTCAAAAACCACCTGAACCAGTTTTTTGCCAGCAAGGACCAAAACTTTTATGAGAAGGGAATTATGTTACTGCCAGAAAGATGGCAAAAGGTGTTGGACCAGAATGGCCAATATATAATTTAATAAAATATTTATTCATTATACGAAAACTGTCTTTCATGTTCCCCAAAAAAAACGAAATGACTTTTCGAACAACCCAATAAATCAACGATCAACAACAGAATACCAAAATCATCACTTCTCTGACATGAACAAACGAAGAAGAAAAAGAAGAAAATTTAATGCGCGAAGACGATTTCTGTTATTCCTCGTTTTTGGTTGGTATATTTTCAAAATTTTCCTTTATGAATGACAATTTAGGGCATGTTTGATTAATTTTCTTCATTACCTTACAAAACTGTTTATTTGTTAAGTGCTTCTGTTTCGAACAATTAAAAGTTCAAGTAGTGAAATAAAAAAATTGACGAAAAATTGGTACTGACCTTTTCAAAATATCTAAACAACAAAGGTACCTAAGCAAAATTAGATAGATAGTTGAAAAAACTGAATAAACTGTGTTTGTTATAGGCGCCACAAGCGAAGCTAAGCAATTTTGGTTACATAACATTGTTTTAGCGTCAAAATCAAAGAACAGGATACACCACAGAATTTTCCATCGAAATAGTAATCGATTTTCTCCCCGTCAACATTACCGGCCCGTCCAAAAATATCCGTTTTCGATTCCAAGTCGACAGCAGTGACGCCGACTTCGAAAATATATCGGGAAAAAGCATCCAACCTTACCTAATAACTTTGTTAATTTGCCAATACGATCGCTTTGAACTTTGTCTCGAGCGCAAAAATAAACGCGTTCAATTTTTAATAAATTTTAATTACGATACGCACGTTAGAATAGACGAGCGAGACACCAAGGAAATTGTTTCGTATTTCACCGCAAGGGGGCACCATTGACAGTGCGAATTATAAAATTGAAGCTTTCTTCGAAAATTTTAAATTTTTAAGCTATCAAATTAATACGTTATTGAAAATTTTCATTTTGTCACAAAAATTAATATAACGTTGATATCAAAATCTGAAAGTAGATTAAAATCCAGCCAGATATTTTCTTGCGTTTCGGAGTTCTTATGGAAGAATATCTGTGTTCAGTGGTGATCAAAATATACGGACCGTACCCTTATGAACCACTCTTTATAATTGATTTTACAATTTTTAAATAGTTTTTGATGGTTGTGGTTTTCGTTTTGACAGGTTAGAAGGGGCGAAGTATTGTATCTCGTGCGCTTATGTCTGAACCTCGTGATGTTGTTCAAATAAAGAACTTGTAGTGGACTTCTCTTGTATTAAAAAAGTCTCCAGTACTGCATTACAACATGAAATTGCTATTTCTTATCAAAAATAAATAACGGACTCTCGAACAAGTGTTTTACAGATAGATGTCAAAATGTTCTTCTTCTTCTTTACTCCTATGGCCAAATGAAACTGTTGACGGTTCCTTATTATTGACATATTTAAGTCTAAGCTAACCAAATTAGTTAAACTGAGTATAGAACGCAAATTCAAAAATAAAAAATAATACGTATAAACAATAAATATAAATATTTAATATAAATACAATACATCTTTTGTTATTTGACGAAATAGGTAAACGTTGTTTGTAGGATTTCCTTAAGTTTAAGTAGCGCCATCTATCGGCTTTTAGCGAGATTAGTGAAATTACGAATTATGTTAACTTAAGGTGCAATGGCAGACAAGGAGAAGGGAGTTAAGTTCACTTTTTTGAGGGAAGCGCAAACGCTTTCTAAATAAATAATTTTTATATTCCGTTCTATTTAATTTGCATAATTCATTCACATAGAAAGAAACCTTTTTTTTATTTTTTTAGTACAATACTTGTAAATCGCAATGAGCAATGAATGTTTGAAAATTTCTATAAAATCATGGCAAATTATAATTTTGTAGGAATATTATAATTAAGCATTATTTGCGAGGAAGAAGTATTAGTAAATAACTGAGTAGCTAACATCGAAATTTATGTTATGACCCATTGTGTAATACCAAATGTTCGAAACTTTTCCTAATTACAGTTTTTTCCTGTATAGAACTAAGTGTTATCTGATTTATTAGTCCTTCTCAGTCTAGAAAGCCGAACGCCACAATTTTTTTCCGTTTTTACTCACCGTATAGCTTCAATCTCTTCGTCCTTCTCCTGGAGGCGTTTTTCTGCTTCGTGGCGGAATTGCGCTAACTCGGAAGACAAACGCTGAGCCCGCTGTTCCTCAGCTTTGCGACCCTAACCAAAAACAACACCTTGGAGCAGTTCGAGTCTCGAGCAAAAATGTCAATACGTACGGCTTCCGCTTCTTTGTACGCTGCGGTGAGCTCTTCGCGTTCGTTCTCCAGGCGGCGCAACTCCAACTCCATCTCGTGGAGACGGCGGGTCAGTTCGGTGATGGTAACTTTGGCATCGCCAAGGTCGTCTGCGGGATTGACACATTGTCAAGATATCCGAGACGTAAGGACTTTTAAACAACTCACCAGCCAGCTTCTTGTTCTCCCTGGCCAGTGCATCTTTCAGCTCGCGAGTCTTGTCCAACTCGTGGACCGTCCTCTGCAGCTCCGTCACCTTGTTCCTCAGATCCCTCTGACTTTGTTCGTACAACTGCACCGTTTCATCCAGGCGGCTCTTCAAGTCAATGTTGATCCTCTCCAGCTGCTCCACGCGTTTCTGCAACTCCCTGGCGGTGTTGTTGGCTTTCTCGAGATCGATGATGAGGACCTCGACCTCCGATTGCAGGCGCGACTTTTGCTTCTCGAGGTTGTTGACCTTGACCAGGAGGGCCTCGATGTGCTCCTCTTGTTCTTGCAGGCGCGCGTTGAACTTGCGTCGCAGCTCCTCCACTTCTTCCGCGCGGGCGGCCGCCTCAGTCTCGTATTTGGATTTCCACACCTGTACTTCGCCCTGAGACTTGACCAGTTGCCTTTCAAGGTCGAGACGGGCCTCGCTTTCCTCCTCCAGCTGCACCCGGATGGACTCGAGTTCCACTTCGACCTGGTGCAGTTGGGCTTCCAGGAGCGACCTTCTTCTTTCATCGTCTTCCGCGCGGCGACGGGCGTCCTCTAGTTGACTCGCGAGTTGGGATCTCAAGTAGATGGCGTTTTCGAGATTGACCTGCCCAAATAGGAAATTTAAGCCATCAGACACGTAAAACTTTACTTTTGGATTTCTCTTTTGAAATCCAAGGAGGCCCTTTTAAGAATTGTTGAAGAAAGTTCTATTGAATCATACTAGCAAAGACCAGTTAGAGCAATGGTGCAGTTCCGTCATAGCGTGACATCTTTAACTATTTAATTGACACAGGAATTTTGTTTGTCAGTTTTGAAATCAAAATTTTTAAAATTTAACGATGATCTCGTTTGAAAATGTCCCAACGATTTGGTGCAAAAGAGCCCTTATTTTCATTGGAGAAAAAAAAGCGGGGAAATCTTTTTTACCCTTAAACGCTGTAGACAATATAAGTATTTGCTGTCTCCATACTTGAAACCATCTCATTTTTATGAACGACCAATTTGAGTTTCTGATTATTAATTAAGTAATATAAGCGTACATTATATATGTATTTAATAGAATATTTTATTCCGATTACGATGATGTAACACACTTTATATTTTAGTCCACTAGTTTTTGACAAATCAGCAAAAATAGGAATTTTTTATATAATTGCAAAGAGGGCCGTGACTGACTGCAACAACAATAATTATTTACAAGTTGAAGTAGAACAGAAACACTAAAAATGATAATTGTATGTGACCACCGTTTTCCTGAACACATTTCTCATACAGTCTAATTGTCTCATTGTTAAAATGTGTTCTGGGTATGTAATTTTTTATACATCCCCAAGAAAAAAATCCATTAAACTTAAGTAGGAGCTGTTGGCTGTTCCGTATCCAACCTCTGGGATAGTCCATGTTAATAAAATTTTTAACTTGCACAACATTGTGAGGAGGGACACCGTCTTGCTGCCATATAATCAGCGCTGATATATTTAGGGATATATATGGTGCTCTAAGAGCAAATAATGATCTGCAGTTAACTTTTGATCTGTGGGTTTTTATTTCGTGTATTTGTTTAGGATTATTGAAAGACCAATATCTCGTAATTCGTCTATTGTCACCCTTTCTTGCAGTGAACGAACTTCTATTAGTCCATGAAATATTTTTCAATTTTTTTTTATTCTCATTATGTCTATTTAAATAATCCGAGCAAGACTGTATCCTCCTTTGTCATTGTTCTTCACTTAGTTTTTGAGTAGATTGATCCCGAGAAATACCTGTCTCTTCATATGCTCTAGTGATAGAGGAAACTGAATGTGCTTCATATAATCCTAATATGTTTGCCATATTTTCTTCATTTTTGATTCCGGCATTCCTTTTTAGAATTTAATACGTTATCGTTTTCTGCAAATTTCCTTGCCAGCCTTGGAAATATCTGTTTTGAAGAAGCTCGGCGCTCTGGATGAAGTCGTATTTTATTGTTCAGAAAGTATACTTGAAGCATATCACTCATTTCACGGAAAACCAATTTTAACAATAATGACGTGGACAATAATTCAACCGTCGACGTTGTTTACTAATATGTGAAACGTAAACAGTCAGGGCACTCTCTGGAATTATCCTATTTTTGTCGATTTGTGCTCAACGAGTGGACTAAAATATAAAGTGTGTTACATCATTGTAATCGGAATAAGATATCCTATTAAACACGCATATAATGTATAGGGTGTTTTATTTAAAAAATATGAAGTAGGCTTATATTTTAGAAAATTGATAGTGTTTTGTTTTATACGTCACTTGGAAAAAAGCTTGGCTACTAACCCTACATTTCGTGTTTTTGGTTCCCTTGATATCTCCAAAAACAAAAAAGTGACAGCCAATTAAAATGTTATGAGCATAAATTGTGGTTAGAATTCCTACCTTGATGTCTTGGACTTCTTTGGTGAGCTCGATGTTCTCTTGGGAGAGGCGCTGCTTGTGGGAGGTGATATCGACGATGGTCCGGTTCAATTCTTCGATCCTGACGTTGAGCTCGTTGATGGTGATCTCCAACTTTTCGGCGTGCTTCACCGAGATGAGCCTCTCCTTGTTCACGCTTTCCACTTGAGAGAGCAGCTCGTACACCTCGCTTTGGAATTTGCTCTTTTCCTTTTCCGCCCTGTCAAGCAAAACGGTCGTTTCGTGGAAAAGAAAAACAGGCCGCCGAGCATTATAAATAAACGCGGTGGGAACGGATTGAATCTGGGACAAGAAACTAAAAATAAGTGTTCGAATATTTGCTTGACGTTTCGAGTCATCTGCGAGAGAGATATTGCTTTTATTTCGGCCATTATTTAAGATTAAGCGCGAAACTTGGTCGAGTTTGTGGAAACCCAACTTTGCGCTATGTAGCGCCTTCGTTAGCCAGAGAGAAAGAGAGACAGAGAGAGAGTCAGAGAAAACGGTCAATGAAATCATCCAGAGTTGGATATCAGATATGCTGGCCTACTCAGAATGCACTACAGAGATTTTCAGGACGCATTTTCCAGATAAAACGTGTCGACGATGACGGTGGTGGTACTATGACGGGTTTGCAAAAAACACTTACTTACCTGTGTTGCCAAAATTAGGAATCTGGTTTTTTGTGAGGCTGCAACATCTAAATATTTGGTATATGGATTCAGTTAATACATTTTCTGATGTTCATAAATTAATAATTCATAGTATTGGAGATATACTCTCATTATTAAGAAGCTTATACAGCGGGTGATACAAGAAAGTGAGAACACTCTATAACCTTTAAAGGGCTTCAGATAGCGATTTGAAATTTGGAAGGGCTGAATGTCCAAGGAAACGACAGTAACTTTGGAATTTTAAATGGCACAATCTACATTTTTTCATTTTTGGATTCAGGAGATCATTCTAGGTAGGATAAGAGGGTTGTTCTCTTTTTTTTTAATTTTTATCGTTGAATCTGAGGAAGCTCTCCCTTAAATCTTCTTTTTTTTATAATACTAATCTGTTTTTTCATTTCACTGCATGAGCTTGTCGGGAGTTTCTTCTGCATTTTTAATCTTACCGACTTGACAATTGATAATGCATAGAAGCAAAGCCACCTAAGTAATATTTTGTTTTTGTAAAAATGTATTTACTTATCTGGTTTTTTCCTTTCTGTGATCTTATTTTTTATTTATTTTTTTAAAAAGTACCGATTTTGAAAGGTTTTTGTTCCCATTAGAGTGCTATTTAAAACAAACTAGGTTATCCTAAAAAATTAATAGTTCATTACATTAAATGCTATTTGCCATTAGACAAGTAAAGAAAAGTTTCATTTACCATTTTAACCTCTGTTAACAAATCTCAAACGGCAAAGTGTTTTTGCGTGCGGCTCGATGCATTTTCAAAAAAGGAGCGATTTTTCTCGAATTCTCAGTTTGGTTTTCGCAATGGATCATCTACTCAAGACTGTTTAGTTTCCTTATATAATCGAATAGTCTCGAACCTGGATCATAATAATAAAACATTTTGTATGTTGAAGGGTTGTGACCAAAGAGTTGTGCTTAGAAGTGATGCTTCTGTGATTAGATCCTCATCTAAAGAACTCACCAGCGGTGTCTCACAGAGAAGCATACTGGGACCTTTATTATTTATAATATTTATTAATGATATAGATATATTAATAATCAGATGATTTTTTCCCAGACAATTATGTTTCTTTATATGCAGATGATACTGCTGTGGCAGTGTCATCTAGGAGTCTGGAAGATCTCACGTTCTTGGCCACTAGGGCAATAAGTGGTATGATCCGATGTTGTGAGCGTAACGGTATTTGTTTGAATGGGACAAATACTGAGATGATGTTGTCTTCGCTTAGGGATTTGAACAAGAGCTTATTGGTTAGTAAGCAGGATAAATCGATCGAAAACCCTTCCAGGGCTAGTGTAGTTTTTGTACAACAAAAACTTATTGTTCGAAAAATGTTGGGGAAGTCCCTTGTAAAACCCCGTTTCCAAAATTAAATATTTTTCCTTCTCTCTGTATATTAAATAGCGTAAAGAGTAATTTATCTAATTATTGCATGACCAGAATTGGTGGACATTATAATTTTAGAGCTAATCTTAATTTGCAGTTTGTATTTTAGTGTTCTAATGTTTTTTTTACTTGTTGACATTATCCGATATTTTTGTTAAAAATCAATGAAAATAAACATTTTTTTTGATCAGCTAACGCGGTCGGTAGTATTTATGATGGTAACAGCCTTCTAGACACAATTTTCAAAATTGAATAAAAATAAAAAAACAATAGAAATTGGAAAAAAACCAAGTAAAATGATCTTCTGAATCCAAAAATACAAAAAAATATAGGTTGTGCCATTTAAAATTCGTTTCCGCTCAAACCGCATTGACTACATATTGTCAAAAAATTGTTAACCCTTCCATATTTCAAATCGCCATCTCAAGCCGTTTAAAAGTTATAGTGTTCATACTTTCTTGTGTCACCCGGTATAGCACGGTGAAATTTGGTGCGTATATAATTTAATTGTCTAATTTTTGACATACAAACAATACCTCAATTATTTATTAATTAATTCTTCGCATTCCAGTTTTCAAAATATTTGATTCTTCAGTTTTTGCGGGGCAGTCAAATGAATACTTGAATACTGTAAATGTTTTATTACTTACCACTGGCTTAAATTAAAAAAAAATAGTTTCATCATTATATCAAATATTTCGTTAAACTTGTTCCTAACATTATGCAACTTTTCTGGGGGAATTATACAGCAAATATTTCGAACTCAAATTTTCATCTAAATTGGGTTATTTTTTACTTCTTAGATATTCCCAAAAAAATTAGGGGTGTTAGGTCCGGCGACCGAGCTGGCCATTCAATCCACCTGTTAGGAAAAGCAGCGTTTAACCAAATATAAAATTTAATTTTTTGCCTTGCGAAAACTGTCTAATCAAATGGTTTCAAAATTGACATGCGAATAGAATGTGAAAAGAGGTATCACATGACCCCTCTTACCATTAAAAAAAAAAGGGTACAAAAAATAAAAGATTGAAAAATTGTTCAGACACTTTTTTAAGACTTTCATTTTTTCTTATGTCGCCATATTCGTTTTTTCGATTTTTGGAAAGAGGGTAAAAGACGAATGACACTTCGAAAAATTTGCGTTAATTTAATCAACACCTGAACAATCTGCAATTTCGATAAAAATTGAAAAAGATATTGGCGACACAAACAATTTTCGAATAACGTAATGCACATTATTAGCAATTAGCGACAACCCCAGCAAGTGTATTTCCGTTCATGTTTTTAAACGTGTCCAGAACTCTTTCTCTTAATGTTTCTAGAATCTAGTAGGCCAAGACATCGGACTTTTTAATGGAATATTTTTTTCTTTAAACTGCTGGCTTAAGAAAGCCGTGACTTGGATAGTATTACAATTTTTATTTGACGTCAAAGTAGGTATCCTTAAATGGAAAAAAGGCGACAAATAAATCCATGGCCTGCTGTTATAATAACTAAGACCAAAACGTAACAAAATGTGATAAAATGTTTTGTGCGCTTGTGAGACGTAGCTGAACTGGAAATTTGACGTTCTTACAGAAAGATCTAATACTGAGAACATAATAAAAGTGAAAGTCGATGCTGATTGTAAATAGCAACAGACCATTGAGGTTGTGTTACTCGTCTTAAAACAAACGTCTTAATAATGTCACATTTTGTCAGCTCCGAATTAAATAGTTTGGGATTTACTGGCGAAAACCGAAATCCTCTTTCACCATTTGCTATAGGCATGACATGAGCATTTATATAAAAAAGAGAAAATTTAATGCACATTTTGACACCATGTTACGAGATATGTTCATAAAAACATTTTGCATTGCTTTTAAAAGTTCAGCCCATTGTATATGTGACAAAAAATTGAAATACTGGCTGCTTGTTACCGTATTTATGGACAAACTCGAGGGTGGAAACTACTATAATGAAAAAGAAAAAGATGTATATGTACTTTATGAACCATTCAGCAAATTCTGAAGAGAATCTCACTCCGCTAGTTATGGCCTTTTTATAAATTGGATTTGCTGCAACCTACATAGTCTGGTTGAATTCTATATATTTTTTTGTGGTGTGGTTAGATATATAACTTATTCTAATGGGTCTAGATAATAAATACTGAAAAAATAATAGGCGCTGAAGACATCAAGTACTATGATCTTTATATTTTATCTCTTTGTGGATGGACGGAAGTGCAGATGTATTAATTATAGTGGTTTTAAAATATCATGAACAAGATTTTCAGATTTTGACAAATTGAATATCGTGGAACCATTTAATAATAATATTGTAGCCCTGAAGATTTGAATTCACGCCGTATCTCGAAAATTGAGCATTTGCCAAACTACTTTGTTGTCGACTATCGACCCTGTTAGGGTCCTCTTTCGATGCCGTGTCTAGTCGTCCGAAAAAAAAATTGACAATCTCGCATTCGCCCGAGACAAATATGGCGTGACGCACAATCGTCCCGAGTTATTTATAGCGGTGGCGAAACCAAGCGATCCGGGCCGAACAACCGAGTGACTTATCTAATCTTAAGTATCCTGGCGCGGAAATATTTTCCAGGTGTCGGCCGAGCCCGCGCCATGCGAATTTGAACGCCACGCGACCTTGAAAACATACAATTATTTACCCTAAATCTACTCGGGCCATTGTTATAATGCGACCAAAAATATAGTGCATTTATTGCTTTGACGTTGTACCTTGGTAAAAGTAGGTTTTGCCTGAGATGGACCGTAACGAATATTTGATGAAAGTTGAAATTTTAATTTGAAACGTAAATGTTATTGTGTTAGATAATGCCTCGTAGAATTCAGCCCAAATTAGAAAAAATCCAAATACTTCTTCAAATAAAGAAGAAATTAAAGAATTTCTGTACGAAAACCATTTATATTTTGAAGAGAGCTACACGAAAAAACAACTTCTGGAATTATTAAAAATAAAACATTTAAATAAAGACTACAAAGTCCATTGTACATATAACCCGATTGACATGATTTGGTCTGAGTTGAAAGCGCATATAAGAAGAAATAACGCTTCACCAAAATTTAGTGATAGTATCATAAACGCAATTCGGCAAGAGGTAGTTAAAATATCAGTACAAAGTTGATCTAACTGTGAAAAACAACAAATAAAAAATGAAAATATTTATTATTTTTAAGTGGCTGATACTTTATTATTATTATATTTAATATTTTGTATATTAATAATGGTACTATGTAGAAATGTAATCAAATAGAACGTAATAAATTGTGAATTTCTCGTCGAAATAGATTGAAAACATACTCATTGTTAGTGTAGGTAGCTAAATTCCTAGGTGGTGGTTACCGGTAAGGGTAAGCAAAGTTAATCACGGGGTCGGTTCAGAAAGCACTATATTTCTAATTTAATATATTCCCAGAATGTAAATTTGGGAGTTTAGATATATTACAAACATTCGTGCGAGTAAGGTATATATCTTTTTTGATACTTTATGCGGCTTTGCAATAAGGCATCTGAAGTTTAATCCTTAGCATTTTATTATTCGCCTATAATTTGTATAGTTAATATAATTATTTAATAAGATGCAATTTCCAGAGTAATTTATAGCCCTAAACCGAATATCCGCGTCGTTTGTTTTATCGCGCCGAATCGGATTCTGCTCGTCCAAATAAATCTCGTCTATATAAAGCTGACTTCGGGTAAACAATTACAGTCGTTAATACAGGGATCTTTATAATCGTTTACCGTGTGTATTTTGGCATGACGGTTGCAGTAAATATCTAGAGAGTGGCGCCTTTATAACATGGACCATATAGCTAAGATTTTAAAATTCCTCAAAATAGCAATACTTTAATGATGGAGCCTTTCCATGGATAATGCCTTCTAGGATATGCAAAATAGACCGCATTATTTTCGTCATTCAGAGTATATTAAATAAGAAAATTCTTGACTCTCAAATAATATACAGAGTGCCAGAGAAACTTCGCAATTTGAGTTCAGTAGTCTTCGTCATCCTTCCCAGGGGACAGGGGAAGGTCAAGTAACGAAAACACACTACTATTGAAACTAGTTATACATACCTCGATTTAGCCTTAGCTAGAGTGTCGATTTGATCTTGAAAATCCACGACGATCTCCTGGTGTTTCTTTTTGAGGATGGCGGCGGTCTCCTCCGACTCAATATGAACATCTTCGAGAAGTTTGCGGAGTTTCAGCAGCTCGGTGTCCCTCTTTTTGTTGATTTCGAACTGCAATTTTTAAAGTTACATTCAATTACGCAGGTCACCAAAGTAGATCTCCTTCTATAAGGAAATACAATGCAAACGCTTCCAGTTGCGGTAATGGAAAAAATATTCAGATTTGTTTTGACCTTCAGCTTTTCCGTATTCAATGCATAATTGTTAAACGTACAATATAAAAACCATAGTTCAGGATCGTTTCATGCAGTTTTATCTATTTGTATTGATGAACAATATAGATAAAAGCCGAGAAAAGGTTTTACAAGGAAGACGGCTCATAATACATACGAGGTTAGCGTCAAAATTTCCCGGCCTGACATAGATGCAGCTCCAGTATCACGATAAAACTTAGTAGGCTGCGAATAAAAATGAAGTCTTGCGTCAAATAGCATTTTAAACAAGACGTGTCCGAAAAAATGTCGCAAATAATGCAAATTGAGTATAGTGCAATCACAAAGTTTTTGACAAAGAAGGGTTAGCACCTAAAATTATTAAAGAAAGGCTGGATGGTGTATACGGCCAAAGTTCTCCTTCGTATTCTGTAGTGAAAGAATGGGCAAAACGTTTTCGAATGGGGCAGGAGTCTCTTGAAGGTGATTCAAGAACTATTCGACCAGTGGAGGTCATAACGGAAGATATTGTTGCGATCGTGGAAGAGGTGGTATTGAGTGATCGACGTTTAAAGGTCAAGGAAACCTCAGAAATTACTAAGCTTTCTAATACAAGTGTTCGTCGAATCCTGCATGATCATTTAGGTATGCATAAGGTTCGTGCAAGATGCGTTCCTAAAAACCTTTCGGGTATTCAAAAACAACGCCGTGTCGAGTGTGGAACCGAACTAACCAAAACTATTGCGGCGGAAGATGAAACTATGGTTCTCTATTATGACCCTCTATTGAAAAAAATATCAATGGAGTGGCGTCGTAAGGGCGAAGCACCTCCAAGAAAATTCAGAATCTGCCAGTCAACAAAAAAGGCGATGGCCACAATCTTTTGGGACTGTGAAAGAATTCTTTTGATAGATTTTAAAGAAACTAATACCACTGTCAATGGTAAATATTACGCAACATTGTTACATAAATTGCGAGACTGCATACGTGTAAAACGTGGAGGAAAACTGACCAGAGGCGATAATGCGCCTGTCCATACTGCTGGTGTTGCACAAGCTTGTGGGTTCCCTCCCTATAGTCCAGATATGGCCACCAGCGACCATTATTTGTTTGGATATTTGAAAAAGGACTTACGTGGACGGCGGTTTAAAGACGAAGTTCAGTTAAAAGAGGCTGTTTTAGCTCGTTTGCAGACAAACCAAAAGAATGTTTTTTAAAGGGTTTGGGTTGTTAATAAAGAGATGTAATAAGTGAATTGAAGTTAAGGGGGATTATATTGAAAAATAATAATTTATTAATAATAATTTTTCCTGTGCGATCCTGGAACTCTTCAACGTATCTCCCAATGAATCCCCAGAAACAGGCACAATGGTATCATCAGCAAACAGTGTGTAAACAGATGTAGGATCCACAAGGGGAAGATCATTTATATATATTAAAATTAATATGGGGTCCAAAATTGAGCCTTGGGGCACTCTTACTCTCCAGAGTACTTAATCGCCTGGCATCTATTGCTAAGGTAAGATTGCACCAAACTAAGACTGATATTTGCAAAATTTGCCTTTAACTTACGCAGAAGAATTCCATGATCGACACAGTCGAAGGCTTTAGTTGAGATCACAAAAGAATACAGTGTTATATTCTGGAATGCATCTGTAATGTCTGAAACTAAATTGTGAATGCCCCAAACATTGTTTTTATTTCCTTTGGAACCAAACTGATTATTATTTAAAATGCAATTAATTTCAAAATATTGAACTTATTGTTTAGCTATACATTATTTGAAACAGTTTGAAGTAGAGATATAGGTCGATAATTTTCAACAACATCAGGGTTACCGTTTTTAAATGCTGATATCACTAGAGCTTTTTTTTTAAATGTCTGGAAAGGTGTTGACTTGAATACTTAGTTCCGTGAGATGCGGTAATTTTTCATTCTTGACAGACTTCCTCGACTATTTTTATTTTTGAGACTATTTAGGATTTTCATTCATTCATTAAAACTAAGTTCAGCAAGCGTAAAATAAGATTATAGTTCAATTTTATCCAAATATGAACTATAGTGGACGCAGTAGAGACTATATTTGCAAAATAATTGTTGAATTCATTAGCGGTTATGATATGTGATGAGGGCTTTCCTGTACGGGTGGCTCTATTTTTATATCCCACAAGCATTTGGTGTTGTTTGTTGATGAACGTATCAAATTATCATTGGCTTCGATCTTAGCCTCACTTATTGTAGCTCGATAAAGCTTTTCATATTACTGCTATTTTGCCTAAAGAATTCGGAAAGTAGCAAAAGTTCTTACATTTGTTGTTACACTTACGTTTAAATTGTCAGCTAATCAAAGGATATATAACAAAATGATGATCTTTTTAAATTCCACTGACTCACCTGACTCTCAGCTCCGCCTTCGGCCTCCTCCAGCCGTTCCGACAGTTGGATAACCTGCACGCTCAGATCGGCTTTCTCCCTTTCAATCTGTAACGAACGAAATTCGACTTTAGAAGCGCCGTTATCTAGCAGGCTGTGACGAAGCCAAGGCAGCGGTGGCAGCAAAATCTTTCCCGTCAAAAAACCCAAAAAGCTCCAAAAAATGCGCTCCCCATTTTTATTTTTAGCGAAGCCGCGGGCGCCATTGCCAAAATATTAAAATAGACCCAGTTTCGAATCACATTCTAAATTCGGCGAGCGCTAGAAAAAGCCTTGCAACTCGCTGCACAGTTAGCGCGTTGTGTGGAGGGGGGTACTTACTCTTGATCTGAGTTCTCTTTCTACTTCGAGGTCTTCTTGTAAAAGGCGGATTTTGTCCTGCAAGAATATTCGCTTTGAAAATTCGAAAATGGGATCAACGTGGATTCCGATTGCGTAACGCCACTGCGTTATCAGTGGCGTGACAATGAAACAACGCGAGTGGTGTAAAACCGATTAAAATTTAATTTATACGTAATTAACGCTATACGTAGGGTTATGGGTGGCTTCGGATGTATTTTTGAATTTTTGCGACCGAAGAGGGTTGTAAAGGATCGAACTAGAAAAAAAGGAAAGGAAAAACCAATTCACGGCGTATCCGAAACCGTCGCACTATCACACAGAGCACTTGGTGGGAGCCGCACTGATTTCGATGGTACTAGAGACGTGGTAATTCGATCCTCTGGTCAATTATGGTTACCTCGAGTCTGGATAACGCGGTCAGGTCCGCGCTGTACTCGATGCTGACGTCGGCAGCGCCTCCGGCTGCCCCGCTAGACCGGTAGGAGTACTTGGAGCTCCTCGCCACAGAGGAAGACATCGTCTACGTCGTCCAAGGGTTGCGGTTCGAGATGGGGGCGAAAAAGTGCGCGTTCAAAATGTCGGTGCGTGCGTCGGAAGGAACCAGCGTGTGGTCGGCCGCCTGACAGTGGTGGCTGAGTCGTTCGTATGAGCGTCGCGACGCAGAAGACGCTCGGAATAAGCCGGTCAGGGATTGGGCGCGCGTGCGCGCCCCTCCCCCCTCCGAAATTCCGCGTTTCGGGAAGTCTATTTTTACCGAGATGACCGCCGCGCTTGATTTTATCGCCAGCGATTCGAAATATTAGAAAAATACAATAAATACGGCTTTACTTTTTTCATAACTTTTTTATTTTTCGTTAAGTGGTTAAAATTTCAAAGAGACCCCGCGGAATAATTACGTCGCCGATTTGATACGGACCGATTGCGCTGGCTTTTGTCCTGAATTATGGAAGTTACCTGCCGATGGCAATTAAACGCGGGTCGAGTCGATATTAAAGGATAGAACATAGGGACGGACTTTCAAAGGTTTTGTGGGTGTAATCTCATTAAATTACACTAAGAAAAAACAGTGACATGTAATATATATTGTTTCATTATCAGAGTCGTCGTTGAGATGAATTATATTGTTTTAACAAAATAAATAAGAACTAAAAGTTCAGATTTAAACGAAATATATATTCACATGACAATTGTTTCGACAACACCGTGTCGTATAAAATAACTTTATTAATTTTTTAGACTTAACTATTGCGAAAACGCAAAACGAGTTAGATTTTTCCATTTACCATAAACCTCCACACACGGACAAAGTCACACATAACAACTCGAATCACCCTTATACACACAAAATGCCATTTCAGTCTTTTATACACAGACTTCTTAATACGCTACTCTCAACAGAAAATTACAACGAAGAACTTAATATCATTAAACAAATTGCACTGAACAACGGCTACAATCCGTTGCACAAACCGGTAGATCCTTCAAGAAACGCATTAACGAACATAAAAGAGTGTTTCAAAATGATAGTCTAGATTCTAATTATACTACACACATTTTTGACAACAATTTTGATTTACACACAGCCACGTAATGTAGAAAATTAAATTTGTTCTAAGCCATGGAGATTATCAAAAAGAGACATTCAAATGTTCTGCTTCACGATCAATTAGATTTAAATACCTCTCCTTTATTGAACTTAAATTCTCACAACATTAATTAAGATTTTATTGTCATTTTTCGGAATAATATTTACATTTATTTTAGTTCTTATTTATTTTGTTAAATGGATTTTCATAAAGTAAAAGCCACATCAGTTGAATTATGTTGTTTTGTATACTAAATTTTTTCAGCTCTCAATTGGTATGCTGTTATTACATTTTTTATCAAATTTATAACACTGGGACTTAATATTTTCTCCACAAATGTTCAATGGGGTTACACATGCATAGTAATAATATATTTTTTTCTACTCCCGTCTGTAAAATACCTAATTACACACCGATCTAGTGTGCGGCAAGCGTCACTTTAGCACGTCAAGTTTGTTTGCCATGAATCCGAGCCACTTCGGACATTTCCGGGATTTTAAAGCACGGGTTTGGGAGCAATCTGATGTTTTCGAAGATATTTGTCACGCTTTGAATTTTGAAGTTTGTCAATTCTGACGGTCATGTCAGTGAATGTATTCATGTTGTTTTGCGAAAATCTGCCCAAAAACTAACGGTGGTAGAAAAAGTATACTATGCGGTAAACTTTTTAAGTCGCTCCGCTCGTGTCAAATGAACTCGTGAGTCAAATGCCGTTTACCACACTTGTTGCATAGTATACTATTGTTTTGTTTATTTAAGTAGGTATAATATTATTAAATTACACTGACACACACGTTGTTTTTAATTTCTAAATCTAATTCTGAGTCCGGGTCGTCATTGAGCTTAATTATAATAGGATTTATGTTGTTTTGTATAGAAATGTAAAAGTCTTCAATGTTTATGTGTTGTACTGATTTTTTTTAACTCTCAATTGGTGCGTTACTAATTAATTTTTTGTATCGGATTTATAACACTGGGAATTCAAAATAAATATCATTTTCTAAAAAATTGTGCTGGTTTTCAGTTTTTTAACTTGATGTGGCTGTGGTAGCTTGCGATATTCATGACAATAACACTTTAGCGCCATTTACCAGCGATGGTTATTAGTTCTCGTTGTAGATGACAAATGATGACATACGGATGAACACATTCCAAAGTTTAGATCCTACATAAATTTTGATACCCCTGAAACGTGTTATTTTGCACCAGTACACTCCCAGACCATTTTTAAATTACAAAAACTTGCATCTACAAATTCGAAGCCTGTTTCAAATACTTTTCATTACACTCTCTAATACAAAAGTGAAAATTACAATTAAAAAATATATGCTTGCTCATGGTTGTTAAAATCTCTTATGTACGAGTATATAATAAAAACCACACAATTTTAGAAACTTATCTTACTTGTGAAACTATAAATATGTTTTAATTTATTGAACTTATATTTAAAATTTTATTATTTTCGCATTCCTCTGTGTATGTGTCTATATTCATAGTTAATTGTTTTATATTTATACTCTTTTGACTTTATCCTACAAAGTTAAAATTTATCCTACAAAGTTAAATTGAAAATCTTTTATCTATCGAATAAAAACAACCTAATTTTAGAAATTTATCTCACTTAGAATTAAAAATATTCGGATCTTACATTCAAATAGAAAGTTACTCTAATCAATTCCCACAAAGATAAAATTAATTAAATCATTCATTTCAAAATGAGAAATGTACTAGAAAAATGTAAAAAAGTTGACGTGTACCTAACATTTTTATTTTACCACAAACCAATTGAATAAACCGAATTAAAAAGTAAATGGAAGCTTATCCCAACCATCCCAATAATACGACAGGAAAGTGACAAAAAAACCCACAACGTGAATTGCGACAGGGGGTAGAGTACAGAAATAAATATCATGTAGAATTTATTAATAGCATTTTTCTATTTTCGTCTCTTAAACTATGAGTAAAAATAAATCAATCATTGGCATCAAACCTATTTAGAAAATAAAAGCATATCCGAAAATGCTGACTTTTAAATCCGTTTCTAACTGAATAAAATATTTATTTTCGATATAATTTCAATATTTACGTGGACGATCGGAAGTTTTCTGCTGCAGGAACGTTATCGATGCGAAACGCATTCGCACAAAGGAGTGTCTATTATTAGCTGGTTATTCATTATAGCTCGGCTACAAACCACGGTCAAAACAAATTGGAGCTCTTCTAGAAACCCGGCTCCTTAAATTGTATTATTTTCTTGTTCAGTTGCAAACTTTCCTATTCAATACTAACTTAAATAGGACTGTTTTAAGAGTGATATTGATTATGAACAACTTTTTTATAGAAGCTCAATAAAATAGTTGACAAAATTAATGAGGCATCTAACATGCACAAAAAGTCATTCCTAGATGTAATTGGAAGCTTCCGTGAAAGTATCTACATTAGACCTTTCTCTCGAGAGGAAATATCGAACTTAATAAAAAAAATCATATATATTCAAAAAGTATGCTGACTAGATTAGATTAGATTAACAGTTGGGAGAGCTAGCAGTCAGCCTGTCCGTCACTGCGACCCAGAGGATCTATTGTGACTCTCTCCATAGCTATAGGGCTTATCCAGGTTCGTTTCTCTAACCAGACTCCACAACTTCGATAATGGCTCCCTCGTATAGCTCTCTGCCTCTGGTTTGGTATCGCCCAACAGATGGAAACGCACTCTCGCTAGGCCTTCCTGACAGAATCTACATTCTGTGTTTTCTTCCACTTCCATCGGGCTTAGATGCTTCTTAAGCCTGCAGTGGCCCGTCAGCAGACCTACCATTATTCTTACGGCTTTTCTATTGTAGCTTAGTAGGTCCGCTGTAAAATTGGCCGATGGGCCCCTTAGGAATTCCTTGGCCTGTCTTTGCCCCGGCATGTCCCTCCACCATCATCGGGATTCAATCGCAGACAATCGCCCCATACGCTAACGTTGGTCTCACTACTGCTAGATACAACCAAAGTGTCATTTTTGGGTTTAAGCCACACATTCTTCTGCATCTACCTAGTGCAATGGTTGCCCTAAGCGTGAATCTGCGCTCTCCAGGTAAGTTTTTGGCCAAATATGACTCCTAAATATTTTACCTCCCTGGATAAGTGTAGCCTTGTTCCATCTACCACCGGCGGTTTCAGTCAGTCAGGATTCTCCTATTGGTAAATGGAACGACTGTCGTTTTCTTCGTGTGTGCCGGCTATATCCCGAGTCCGTTGACCGGCTTGATAAATGCATCATTAACAGAGGGAGCTTTTCCTACAACCCCATCTTTATGTTCGTCCAATAGCAATCACATCATGCTTTGCTAAAATATTTAAATACGCCATGCTTGACCGATTATTTAAGCAAAAACAAAATTTTATCTGAAAGTCGTCATGGTTTCAAAATAGGCAGATCAACCCAAACAGCGATCCATTCATTTTTGGAGCATGCTATCAACTATATTGCGTCTGGAGGGCACCCTGCTTGGATATTTTGTGTGAGTAGCACTGACTGTATGAACCACGAAATTATTTTGAATAGGATGGAACAATACGGAATTCGTGGAATAGCTCTGAACTGGTGCAGATCGTTCTTAACAAATCGTAGGCAGTATGTTAAAATAAGGCAGGAGAGAGGCAACTTGTGTCAAATTAACAAATCTCAAGTCCAATCTGTAGATAGAGGCGTACCGTGAGGTACAGTGCTATCAGAGTTTGTTGACGACTATTCAAATTTAGTTTCCTCACACTGTTACCAAACTCCCAAACTACTTTTTACAAAATTTCTGGATTCCTCTTGCGTCGGTTTTTGCTGAGTCGAACTTGCTGACGTTTCGCAAATCATCCTGTTGGCTTCTTCAGAGCTTGACTGAAACTGGCTCGCATTTTACCTGCTTATATATATATATATATATATATATATATATATATATATATATATATATATTTTTTGTTTATTTGTTCATGATTCCTTGCACAGATAGAGGAAACAGCATTAAACAAAAGACATTTCATTTTTTCTATTGAATTTCAGGTTTCTTTCTTCTGTTCCAAGCTGCCAACTTCAA